TCTAGACGTTATATGCGCCAAACGTTTAGGTTTGTTCTGGGCATTGGTTCACCGATATACTCTCCACGTAATTCGCTATTAATGAAAATATTTGTTCTGGACATTGGTTGATATGCGCTCAAATAAGACCTTTTTATTGTCGGCTGCTAGAATTTTTGCACCCCGTATTCGATGAGGTATATAATAATCTACATTTCATGTGATTTTCAGCAAAATTAAAGCAAATGGGAAATTAGCAACGAATGTATTAACCCCCACCCCCTTCTATATACTCTAGACATTATATGCGCCAAACGTTTAGGTTTGTTCTGGACATTGGTTGATATGCGCTCAAACTGGGGAGGTAATTAGCTCCGGGGGTAATTTTCCGGGGGGGGTAATTAACCTGGGGTTATTTTAAGGAGGGATGATTGCCCAGTGTTAGTTGTCCTGGAACCATTTTTAACATCGAAACGAAGTTTTTTTTAAATATTTTATTTGTATGTGTCGAAACTAAGTTGACGGTCTTTCATTTCTTTGTATGTATGCTTGTACCAGGGATATGTGAGTTTAACTCACATATCCCTGCTTGTACGTTCTCATGCTATGAGCTCTGAGTTAGCCATCGCTAGCTGACAATAGTCTGCAAGCACAAACCCTGGTCAGTCGTTAAAGTGAGTCTGCACTATAAGACTACTATAGACCATGTATTGACACAACCATTCTTCTTCTTCTTGATTTGTTTTTGTTTGGCAATCAGTCACAGTTGACTATTTTTGCCACACACTATTTTATGAATTATTTATATATATACATATATGTACAATTTCATGTCATAAATGACTATTTTTAGGATTCTTTCTCTTTCCATCCTCTTTCCTTCCTCTTTTTTTCTTTTTAGACTCTATAACTTTTTTTAGAGAGAAAATTCAATGAATTAATAATTTTGGAAAGAGACCAGTAGGTTGCTGGGCTAGACTTCTCTCAAGGCACAATGATTTTTTGATTAAGTGTCAAATTAGGGTCTGTGTCTGCAGACTAAGCTGACAACGCAAAGTTCTGCTGAGTTGATCGCGCGCCTTACAGCACTAATTCCAGCTGTACTGACAGTACAGACGCCGCGCCACGTTTGTCAATGTACGATCGCTTAAAACAAGTAAACACGGACAGTCTCATCGTTTTAAAATGTCCTTCAAGATAGATATTCACAATCATATATTGCCAGAGAGGTGGCCTGATCTGAAAGAGGTATGTAGCCTAAAAACGCGTTTTGCATCAAATTAGAACGAAAATAATCCACCTTTCTTTAGATCCACCAGTCTAGATACTGTTTACGTACGGTTAGACATAGAAATTTGCACTGTCGACAAGCGCTAGCGCTAGGCGCCTGCCGCGCCGCCTACTAAATATGCATTTCTAGTGTACTTAGGCCTAGGCCTAGGTCGGGCCTAGATCACTCCAGCAAAGCATAGAGAGTCATAGACCGAAAGCTTCAGTCTCTATATCGTTGGTTGTTCCACTGAGACTACGTCTGGCTCCACTAGACCTTCGGATATAGATTAGAGACTGAACGATCGCCTAGACCCTATGCCATCGTATGTTGAAGATATCACGGCTAGATTTTAGCCGTTAGTTACTAGTTAGGCCCCTCCCACAAACATGACAAACTTCACGAGAAATACATCATTTATCTTCAATTGCAGTATTTTTCTAGGCAATTGTCAGTCCCTAAAAGTTCCCTTTTTACCCCCCTTCCCCACGAAAAAGAAATATAGACCCTAAAAGAAATAAAAGGACTTACCGAGCTTTTAGTTTTGGCTGCTTCTCGATGACCCACGTCAAGCATTGACCGACAGAAATCAAAATGGTGGCTAATGAATATTCAATGGCCTCGGCTAGCTCCTCCGTGCGTCATGTCGAGGATAGCGCGCGCACGTGAAGCAGACAACACGAGAACTCAAACGTGAGTAGCAGCAGCGTTATTGTACGCGCACGTCTATGAATGAGGTCAATGGGGTGGAGACTAAAAAACTTTGTCATGAATATTCATTACTTTGATTCAAGATGGCTGACGTCTGAAGACAGTCAAGTGGAAGAGATAATAACACTTTTTTGAAGAAGATTTCATATATGCAGAGGTCCAAGGTACATATTTTCTTAATGTTTATCATGTGTGGTTTAATTCTAAATGTCAATTTTATATGTTGGTGCATGCGATTATAACAAAAAAAGGATTTAACTTAGCGTCAGGGCAGTATCGTCTTATCGTATACCCGTAGCGTAGAGTGTATCTTCAACGTACGATGGCATAGGCGATCGTTCAGTCTCTATATCCGGAGGTCTAGTGCAGCCAGACGTAGTCTCGGTGGAACAACCGACGATATAGAGACTGAAGCTTTCGATCTAAGAGAGTCATAGACCGAAAGCTTCAGTCCCTATATCGTCGGTTGTTCCACTGAGACTACGTCTGGCTCCACTAGACCTCCGGCTCCACGACGTGCAAGCCGCCGTGCTCGCTGGGCTGTGTGCTGCATGTTGTGGGTGGAAACACAAGCTGCATTACTACCCTGGCCGTGTATTAAAAGTTGTGCTATTGATTCTCAACATTTCAAACACCACTGTACAAAACTCGACTGATTTCACTCAAAGTCAGTACTTTAGTGACGATTGATGACACCTAAAGAGCATTAAAATACAATTTGTTCAACTTTCCGATGTTAGAAAGAATAATTAAAAAATTAAAATTGTGAGTCTACTGTCAAACTTGCCGATCAACCGCATCGGAATAATTATGTGCATTTGTATGTTGTGAGTGTATTGACTATTCATGTATTCAACTGCTGCCTATTTACACATACTGCAGTGCTAGTAGTCAATACGCATTAGTATCAACTATCTATGCTTTGCTGGAGTGGCCTACGGCATTCACGATGAAACCATTTAACCGTACATTCTGGTTCACTGCAACGAATAAGATTTTCCGTTGATGGAATTTCACACGTGCATAACTTGTATTGGTCTCTAACTTCCCATACACCAGGCTCAAGAATCAAATCTTTCTCAAAATCAGTCAGAAAGTCTAAATCGTCGCCTAGCAAATACTCATCCCTACTGTACGCCGCCATTTTTGTGATAGCAGCCGATGTGTATTTCCAACATTGCATTTCGCGAGCCCTATGTCACTCAGTTTCGGGAGTGAGATTTACGAGCTGTGCGGTCCGGGAGGGGGATTAAGGGGATTATGATTGGGGGAGAAAAGACTCGCGGTGCAACAGAGATTTTCAAAGGGGCCTCTTAGATGGGGAATCCATTTAACTCACATACCCTGGTTTGTATATGTCTACTTGTATAGTTGTATAATTATCGAACACCATCAAGAACTGATCAATGAAATAAGAGCTTGAATATCAAGAAATATTTGTTTTTAAATTGTTTTAAGTTTCCAATTTTTTGCTGCTCATAGACTAACATAAAATCGACTTAAGATGGCGTTTCAAATAGATATGACAACTTAGGAGTCACAACAAGTCTCTTGTCTGGGAAGTTGTTATTCTTGTTGGAAAAGATAGATTCATGAAACACTTGGCGACAAACCAGCGTCTGTGTTGAGATGTCATTGATTTTGTACTTATGACGCTTTCATGGAACAATTTCATTTGCAAATGCACACTTGTAGAAATACCTACTTGATAATGATAGGAACAGGAATGTGATTATTATTCATTTGTTGTTGTTGTTCGGGGGGGGGGGGTGGTATCGTTTGAAAGTTTTAATGATACAGTGTACATTGTAAGTTAAATAATTGTATTTATAGTTATGGCACATGTACAGTTTTGGTATGTTCTGTACTACATGTACAGTATGTCATAATCTGACTCAATGGCCCAAATTCACAAAGGAGGTTTAATTCAAGCCATGGTTTAAACCCTTATTTACATAACCCATGGTTTAAAAATTAGCGCAAAATAAGCGTACCTTGCCTTGCATGCGTCTAATATTGCACATCTGACTGTGTTGCACTTATTTTGTGCTAATTTTAGACCTGTGCTCCGTCTTACAAAGAGTTGATATTGATCCAAATCAATATCAAGTCCCTAAATCAATCACAAGTTTGCAGTCTCCCATCTCTTATGTACATGGTTGTGATTGATATCAATCACAAATAAGTTGCGATTGATATCAACTCTTTGTAATACAGAGCCCAGGAGTATGAAGAATTTATTTTATTTTATTTTATTTTAATCGTGAATTCGGACCATAAGCTGTTTCTAAAAAGCATATTCTGAACTAGACCGAATTTTCTGTCTCTTTCGTTCGTTAAGCCTCTTATTTGGGTAGGGTCGGCTCTCTTCTTAGAGACGGAAGCCGACTATACACATTCCCTTGCTAACATCATGGCCATTTATGGCCATATTTTTATGCCCCGAAAATCCCCACAAATGTTATTTTACCTTGTGCATGTTACAATGTATATTGTAAATTAGGCCCAGACTATAATAACTCGGTTCCACTTACCAACTTGACTGAAATAATCTGTTTAATGGTCCCTTTTGAGGAAATTATGGGTCAAAGTCGAAAGCGAGAGTTAAAATACGTCTTGCAAGATTTTTAACATGGATTTCGATTTTGGCCCATAATTTCCTAAAAAGGGACCATTAAACGGATTATTTCAGTCAAGTTGGTAAGTGGAACCGAGTTATTATAGCCTAGGCCTAATTTAAAATATAACATGCACGAGGTAAAATGACATTTGGGGGGATTTTCGGGGCATAAAAATATGGCCATAAATGGCCATGGTGTTAGCAAGGGAATGCGTATAGTCGGCTTCCGTCTCTAAAGAGAGAGCTGACCCTACCCAAATAAGAGGCTTAACGAACGAAAGACATGGAAAATTCGGTCTAATTCTGAACACTTGTCATGATAAGCTAATATTCCTTTATTCTCTTTCCCTTTTATTGATAAGTCATGCTCTCAGGCCAATGTGTCTGATCTTTTTTCTTCTCTATTGACACACAACTTGATACAGGGTGCAAACACATAATTACACAGAATAATAGTACCGGTACTCAGTTTTATTGTGTACATGGAGTGCATACATAGAATTGCAGAATACCGGTATTGTTTCTAATGCATGATCATTGTACTCTGTACTAGTATTTTATGTACAGTTTGTACATGTACAGTGTATGCAGGGCTACATGTATATCAAATAGCACAATAACATAAAGTAGGTGTGACTGGATCTAAGCATTGTGATTGGCTGACTCATCCTGACCTCATTCTCTCTTAGTTCACTCACAGTCTAACTTAGTCTACACTGCAGACCATTTTGTGCTTTAGAGTGTAAATGTTGCAACAATCAGAATACGATGACCAAATTTCTCCAATTGTTTTTGTTTTTTACTGTATTTGGAAAAGGCCAAATCAAGAAAACAGTGAATAAAAAACAACAGTAGCTTGAATTGAGTCAAATGGATGCCGGGAAAACAAAAAGATTAACTGAATAACTATGACCTGAAGGTCTTCTAAGAATGTTAAATACATGCATGAACTTAAAGGTGTTTTTTGTTCGTTTTGTTAACAGCTTAAACTTCAGATTATCATATTTCAGTCAACATACTGAAATATGATTGTGAAAGTCATGATAATTTTGAACGGGACTTGGTTACTAGGACTGTCCTGCATAGACGTACAACATGTATCAAAATCTTGTTCATTTTCTTTGTTCAGAGTTCTGTTACTACTCAATGACCTTCGATGTGTGTTCGCCCAAAATTGGTCCATTGAATTCAATAGAGTATTGGATTGCATTGCATTGAATTTATTTTCTCTAGATGCTGATGTCATTCATTGTATTGTGTTGTGTACAGGTATGTGTATGTATGTGTATACAGTACATGTAGTAGTATCAATAAACAAACCTACTATATCCTGCAGCTGCCATATCTTCATCATAAATAGATGTACATGTACGTACAGTGTACATGTACAAATATTTGGACAAGAATGATAACATCAGATTTTTTTTTTTTTTTTTTTTTTTTTTGGGGGGGGGGGGGGGTCATATCTTTACAGCTAATCGATATTGTAGAATTACTCCTTTGAATTGTGAATCAGATATATTTGATCATATCTCTGCCCTAGAAATATTGTTGTATACATGTGTACATGTACACAATACTACACATATTTTTGCATCATTTCTATGAAATGCATGCTCATTTATTCCTGTATAAACAACCTAGAGGATATACGTTGTATGTATCATAGCACAAGACAAATGGGAGAGTTGCTCACAAGTGCAATCACTGAGTGCCAATTGTGTTTGATTGCTCACAACTTTTACAAATGTTTAACTTGATTTTGATTTTTTGATTTGATTTATTTTGATTTTGATTTTGAATTGATTTATTTACCAATAGCAATACATTTTCATACATTTTATACAATAATTACATTTACAGGAAGAGAAACTATTGGTTGGTAAAAAGGGGCCAGATAATAGCACATGTGCTAGTCGAGCCTAGCCCCTTAAACAACTAAACAAAGTATTTTGGTACAAATCAGTTTAGAGAATGTAACAAAACAAAAAATAATTAATTTACTTTTATAATTGATGCTTTAAAAAAAACAAGAATCAGTACTCAATAATGTCTTACAATATTCAAACTAATAATGTAAAATATGAATTATGAATTGTGTACTTGCTTCTTTATTAAATAGCCTGTCCTCATACTGTCATTAATCCTGTGATCGGTTGTTATCATTGTTGTTGTTAAACCTTGATATCTGTGCTTCTACCCTTTCAAACCTTTCTCAAGGTATGTTTTCTGATTTATCTATTTTGTGGAAGTACTCTTTTTTTTGGTTGCTTGAGTTCACCATTAAACAGTTAATGAAACTTGATTTTGAATGGAAGAAATAGGGTGGGCAGATGAAGTCAGCATTAAATTGTGTGGTTTGTGCATTTGAAGTACAATGTTTTTGTACAATATGCTTTGTACATATACATGTACATGTGTAGAACATTTTTGAGCAGTGGCGTCATGTGAGAGTCCAGTCACGGTCCGAGGGATATTAATAATAATAATAATAATATTCCCCTTATATAGCGCGTACAAAGTTACAATGTCTCTAAGCACTTGACAGATATTACAGATGATTCGGAAGGGGGGGGGGAGGGGGGAGGCTTTCTGGGGAGCAGCCTCACTCAACAATAGTATACACAATGCATGTTTTCAATATGTCAATATGAAAGTGATATATATATGTTATTCAGTTGTACTGGTGCATTGAATACCGGTATCTACATACATCTAGTCTACATCTAGCTTTTGACTTATATCTTTTTTGAGAATTTGATAGGGTTCTGTTTAATAGAACTTTAATAGAACTCTCTCTTCTCATTCCTGTTGTTTACAGCGCTATGGATATGGTGGGTGGATTCAGCTTCACCATCAGTGTGATGGTAGAGCCAAGATGATGAGAGATGGAAAGCTGTTTAGAGTGATTGAACCAAACTGTTTCAGTGCAGAGGCTAGAATAAGAGACATGGATGCTACAGGTAAGCGTATACATTGTAAATATTAATGTGATGTTTATCATACCATTTAATCAAGAGAGCTTGTTTTGGCCCATTGCAGAAGAAATTAGTATCCTCGCCAATAGACCAGTTTACTAACATTCAAACTTATGGATGTTTCTTTCCTTGGGACCTAGTGATGAGGTATTCCATTAACCTGTTATTAATGAATGAACTACAATACTTGGCATCCAGGGTGCGTACATGTCATGGCGCTTTGTCAGCCAAGATTTTGGGTTGTCAAAAACCACTTTTAACAACCTTATAAACAGTGTGCATAAAAGTTGAATATGTTAGTTAACTGGTCTATTCTCCATTTAACTCCATTTTTACTCCATTATACATGATTGTATTGCAAATAAAGGAAAAACCTGATATAGTTATAACACCTGTATAGAAACCCAACCTAATATACTGATGGATACCGGTAGCATTTTCTTTTTCCTTGAAAAAGTGGTCTTCTTTGAAACCTGTATTAAAGTTAACTTTTCATAGAACATACAACCATACAAAGACAACATTTGTTGTCTCTCTTTAGCTGTCTCCATATTTATTTTTCACTTTATTCCCCTACCGCAGGTCTAACCCTACAGGCTCTATTAATAGTTCCTGTCATGTTCAGCTATTGGACCTAGCCTGAAACATTTTTTCCTTCTCCGTGCACATAACAACCATCTCCTTATAAAGACCAATTTTCTTGTAGTCCTTGAGTGGTGATCTTTATAGAGTATTCACTGTCCTCTCCCTACCACAGGTGTGACGGTACAGGCTCTGTCAACAGTTCCTGTCATGTTCAGCTATTGGGCCAAGCCAGAGGACACTCTAGATCTCTGCAGGATACTCAATGACGACCTGGCTAACACAATCAAGAAGCACCCTAAAAGGTTTGTAGGTCTAGGTACCCTACCCATGCAGGCACCAGACCTAGCTGTGCAGGAGCTCAAGAGATGTAAAGAGGTAGGTGTAATTATAGGAAGATGCTGTTTCAGGCCTGATAATTACCTGATTTTCTTCCCCAGATCCCCCACCCCTCGATTTTACCCCTATTTCCAGATTTTACCACTATTTTCCAGATTTCCCCCTTATTTTCCCTTATTATCCCTTATTATCCCTATTTTTCCCCAATTTTCTTATTCAAAAAGGGGGGGGGGGGGATTTTGTTAGATGCCAAATCCTTTTCTTTTTCACTCAAGGGGGGGGGGGGGGTGGTTGAGGGAAATGCTCACTATTACCCTTGCTGTTTAGATGGTTGTACGACACATCCTTCTCCACTAATTTCAACCTTTGTCCCAAGACTATACCAACCTATTTCTAACACCAAACCTAACGTAAACTGAATTTCAAACTAACCTTGTAAGTTGGGGCTTTGATCGGATCGGAAGATCGGAGCGACACCCTCGCACCTTTGATCGGTATCGGATCGGAAGATCGACCAAAAAAAAATCAGCTGATTTAATGACAAAAATTTTCAAGTTTTTGGCTATCAAATGCTCAAAAAAATTCATGGCTGGGATTATTTTGTCATTTGGAGTTGTTGTAGACCATGTTTGTTGATATTTAGTGCCTTTTCATGACTTTGAAATTAATAATATTGGTCTAAGAGCAGAGGCAAAACATGTGGGCCGCCATCTTGGATTATAATGTAGGTAATGTTTTTTCTGATCATTTTAATTGATCGGAAATTATTATCCGATCACCCCTGATCGGATCGGTATCGGCGTCCGATCAGATAATCGTTTACAGGGTTATTTCAAGCCTAACCCTAACCCTTTATCTTTGACTGAATAATGCCTGAAGCAATTGTAACGAGAGCATACTTCAGTCCACTGTTTTGATCCGTTCATTTCAAAGACTGGTCAAAGTTTCAAATATACATTGAGGTACATATTTATTCAAGATTCTAGTATGTTTCAATTGTATATTTTCGTTATTGATACTACCCATTTGCATGTAGTAAAAATATGTATTTGAAATATAAATTATGAGGATTCACACAGTATTTAACAAAGCACTCTATTTAAAATGGTTTTAAAGTGCTGTCCCAGTAAATATGCAAATTGAATGGAATGATAAATCTTTTCAAAGCTGAAATGTAAGTTTAAAACTATTGTTTTGTTATTATAGAACATGTTGAGTGTATGGAAGGCTAAAGTTCAACTACAAAATGTACATGATCTTTTGTTAAATTCATCGCATGTTTTCCTTTGTAATTGTCCAGGAGCTTGGGTTTCCAGGTATCCAGATTGGTTCTCATATCAACCAGTGGAATCTAGATGCTCCTGAACTACAACCAGTATTTGCAGTGAGTATATTCTAGCAAGTTCTGTGTATGTTGTCACTGGTCTTTATTAGGGCTGTTGTCAACAACTTTTCTTGGACATGATATGCCAAGAAAAGAAGTGCTTTAGCTTCCCTTGATTTCCCTTTGTCAACATATCAAGTTTATACAATAGGCCTTGTGGTTAAAAAAGATTCACAATCTTGAATTGCGGAAAGTAAAATATATAATATCACACCATCATCTCATAAAAATAACGTAGTAATTATTATTTTTAACTCTGCAGATACGTTATCAAACTTCATTTTAGTTAGGAGGATATAGCACTAGTGCACTACTGGTATTTTTTTTCCCTGTACCATAACATTCATGTTAAGCCAAGATAAATTATTTTTGTGAATCACTTTCTGTTATTATTACGCATTCAATTCAATGTAGTGGATGGATAGAGGATATCATTGATGATGACGATCAAAGTGTTAACTGAAGGAATCAGTACTTTGAAAATAATATCTTTGGACTTGACTCCCTCATATTTTATACAAGATTTGGTTGAATGTTACCCAAAATATCAAGATTTTTATTTTGGTGTGAGTTATTGCATATCAATAAGAAGTTCTAAACACTTATTCAAAGTGACTGATATCTGTTGCTCTTGATGCAGGCTGCTGAGGAGGTGGGTATATCTCTCTTTGTTCACCCCTGGGACATGGAGCTAGGGGGTCGCATGGCTAAGTACTGGTTACCCTGGCTGGTAGGGATGCCAGGAGAGACCGCTACCGCCGTCTGCTCTATGATCTTTGGTGGTGTGCTGGAGAGGTTCCCCAAACTCAAAGTCTGCTTCGCTCATGGGGGTAAGTACATTGGCATATGGGTAATTCCATAAAGTTTGGGCAAAAAATATGACGGTGTCCATGTAATGTAGGTATGAGATCCTTTACTACACATGGAAGATGAAATTATCTGTTGGAAGATTTTCATGCAATGAATATATAGTAGTGTCCTGCCAGAATCATTCCTGTTTCAGTTGCTTTACTTAAAAATATTTGCTTAATAGACATTTCTCTCTTTACCAGCATTACATGGACACCATATTCATAACATTACATAAACTTTGGGTCCATAATATTGATTCACAATGAAGTTTGAGTACTTCTGATAGATAGATAGTTGGCTATGCTTTTTATTGCAAAACTCAATTTGAGCATACATTGTTACAGTTGATAGAGACATAGTTTCTCACTTCTGGTATGTCACAAAAAGCGCCCCAACTTTCTGGACAGACCCATATATAGCAGGGGATCTCAAACTTTTTAATTGACGGTCCAGAGGGTGCGAAGCATGTCATGTCATTCATACAGTCATTCGTACAGCTGTATACGTCAAATGAGATAGAACAATGTACTATTAATTGCTGGAATGCCGGGCGCAACTCAAACATTTGATTTTGTTCCAGGCACGGACAATCCACTCCTAAAATTTACAATAACACTTGTAATACTGAAGAAAATGAGGTTTGTTTTAGGGCTATATCAGATCTAAGGGGAATTGTTACAATTTAAAAATAAAAAGGAAGCAAAGCCTCCCGGGTGGTCCGGATTGACATGCATTGCAGTCCAGATGCAGACCGCGTTCTGGACTTTGAGAAGACCTGGCATATAGCTTAGGGTGTCTTAGCAATGGTCAGTCAAGCTAGTTATAGTGGTCACCTCTCTATAAAGGTCACCTGTCCATACTGGTCACCTAGGTAGTCTTCCTTGAAGGAGAGATATATGTGAAAGAACCTCACAAGAAAGGTCATCTGTTATGAAGGAGAATTGGTGTAGAAATTAAAAGTGGCCACTTTTTAATGGTTTTATACCATGCGTGGGATGAACAAACATTGCTGCACTCCTTATGTCAATCTTAAATTGTTACAGGCAGAGTCAGGATAGTCAAAATGGAGCAGGGGAATTTTCGTAAACATTAAAAAATCAATTATCTGGAGGTTGAACAAAACTATGTTTAAATAGTACTGGAATCACATGTAGTTTAAAATTGCTGAGATCACTCCCTGTCTTACAATTTCAAGGAAAACCCAATATTATTTAGAAAGGTTTTCCAAGAGGATAGTCAAACTCACACTTGTAAAATTAAAATTAAATTGGCTTAGTTCATTAATGTTTCAATACCCGTCCTTTTCATATCTGGCCATTACAACCCCCCTCCCCTCCCTATAGGTGGTGCCTTTCCCTTCACCATCGGTCGTATCGAGCACGGCTTCAATGTCAGGCCCGATCTCTGTGCTGCAGAGAACAATGTCAATCCAAGGAAATACATCGGGCAGATCTACACAGACTCTCTAGTGCATGATGAAAAGGCACTCAAGTACTTGGTGGAAACGATGGGAGAGGTAGGTCATTGCCTCAATTTTAGGATCAATGATTAAAAGTAAATTTGTAATCCATTCTACTTGGGCTAATCAAGCATGTTCCTTTCAGCTGTCAACAATAAAGTTGTTACAATTTGTGCACTATGGAAAGTTAGACAGCAGACATTTTCAAACTCACCGCTAAAAAATTAAACTGGTTAACTGAAATCTGTGAATAGAACCTTTCGTATTCCAGACATATGTTCTCTCCGTTGAGATTCAGTGGCTATGTCCCAAACATCTTGACTAAGGACATGAAGCCAAAGAGTAATCAAGAGTGTACAAGACAACCCCGTCTGTTTTATACAGATATTGACTGGTGGGGTGTGTAGTGTAACAATTTTGGGACCGCTGAAGGGGGTTATATTTTCCCCAGGGGTTATTTGATCATGAGGAAAAATATGACTTCCCTGCATTCCAGAAAATATGTTTTTACCAACTTAATATCAGATAGCTGATAATTACCTGGTATAAAAAAAAACCCCAGAAAGAACGAGATTCTAAATTTGGAAAAGTTTAGGCAATATTTGATTAAAAGTAGGAAAGGTATGAATTTTTGAAGTCGTCTTTAGTGAAACACTATGACGTATGCCAGATCAATAATAGACAAAACATAAAATTCCAATACCCTAGTGGCCAAGATTGTGTTGATATTCGGTCAGTTTGGGGTTAGTGTAGCAGTGCAGCTGGGACATGAGCTTGAGGTTTTGTAGATCTTATGGTATTCCTGTGTTTTCCTCTTCTTTTAGAACCGTGTCTTACTAGGCAGTGACTACCCCTTCCCACTCGGTGAGCACCATCCTGGTAAACTCATCGACTCAGTAGACAGCTTCAGTGAGGAATTGAAGGTGAGCATTTGTAACCAGTGTTCCCACTGCCCTCTATCACAGAAATCAGTGAAAAGTTGAAATGTAAAAAATTTAAAAAGAGAGTAGCCGATATCTTATGTGGTGTCTCTTGTCCAAACAGTGAGTCCACAGGTTGATTGGTATATGTATGCATGCCATCGTGCCTGTAACCACTGTTCATTTAAGCAAAAAAGAGAATGAGATCGTAGACTTTCAAAAAATTCAGGGGAAATCAGGGAATTTTGTTTTCATGAAAATGCCGGGAGCCCTGTGCAAAAAAAAGATATTTGAATAAAGTTCATTTTTGTAAGTACCTTGTGCTAGGATAAAGCATTTCCTTTCCTCACACTTTGTTTTCTTGTTATAATCTGTTTGCTTAGATCTCAGTGACTCCATCTTCACTTAAAGACAATTTAGAAATGAGATAGGTTACAATTAAGTGGTCTGTATGTAGTAATGGGAGATGTTTATGATGTATATGTTTGTAAATTAAGTAATAATACCTTTGGTTTCAAAATGGCTTATTTTATTAGTATTTGAATTATGAATATTTTGGGTTAGCGGAAACCGTATGCAAAATGTCAGAAAAACAAAAACAAAATCAAATTTTTTAAAGAACCTGGAGAATATTTTATTCATGTTAGAGTTTTATGTTGATAAGAGACTAAATCCTGAAGACTTTTCCCTGAAAAAAAAATATATGTAGCTGAGATATTACTGGATTACAATTTTACCATGGACCCTTGTCTTTCCTTCCACCTTCTACAGGATTCTCTTATGGCAGGCAATGCCCTGGAATTCCTTGGTCTGAACCGGTCCCAGTACGAGCCAGACCCTTCACTCTCACCTTCACAATCCAAGTGCGGCCTTCAAAAACACAAAGTCAAAAGCTCTTCCAATGATGATACAGGGGTAGAAAATGGCACAAAAAGGATCAAACTAGCTGATGAGAAGGAGGTCCACTAAAGTCCACTAGTTTATTTGTAAATTCAATGTATAAGTATTAGCTACACCCCTCACAAATGCCTTCCTGATTCAAGTGAGGATCACAGGAAGTCGAAGCTCTTCTGCGAGGCGGAGATGGAGTAAAGAGATTGGCACAAACAAGATGGAACCAGCCTAAGAAGAGGTTCACTAAAGTGCAGTCCCAATGGTTTAGTTTCATGTTTGTATGAGTTAGAACCCGAACAAATGCCTTCCCAATCCAGGTGTAGACTATAGAAAGACGTTTACAGAGGACCTGCGTAGAGGAGACAGGTTCAAACTAGCCAAAGAAGAGGTGCACTAAAGTGTCGTCCCACTGGTTTATTTCTGTTTGTCCCGGACTGTCGACCACAAGTTTCGCGGTTTGGCAAGACATTGATCTACATTTGCCACACTCAACCCAGTTGATGTAAATGGGTACCTGGCAGGACTTAATTCTTTGAAATGCTAGAGCACCGCAATGGCAGCACAGCTAAAGCCGGGGTAATAAACTCCAAGTTTGGGAGTGTTCAGTGATTCTAATAAGCGCTATATAACAACTGAGTATTATTATTATTATTATTACATCGGGTAGTCCTTAGATCTGTTTTTATATAAAGAGTTTGTTGGCAAAGAAAATACCACCTGAGTTTGGAATTGAGGGTTAAAAAGTCCTCTGTTGACCCCAGTTTTAACTTCTCCCTGAAACTATTCTGAACAGAATAACTCTGAAATATTAAGGCCTGTGAGTAAATTGTAAAATATTTTCTTGCATGTTATCCTTTATGAAATATCTGTGATTTTTAATTATTTCTTTATGAGGAAAGGAATATTCAATGTTAAGATAATCAGGGAAGTATTATTTCCTATTGAAATTTATTTTGTCATATTTTGAACTTTCATAGCAAATAAAAACAAATAATGCTATGTTTTAATCATCAAATGTGTACATTTTTGTTGAGATTCATAGCCTTGCATATCCATATCTTTTAGCCGAATATTTATAAGAAGCATACATTTACATTTATATGCAAAATACTATTCAATACAGCAACATTTATCATATACATTTAAATTTGACATGCCCAGGCATTTAGGTACCGGTATGTAAATAGAATGACCATCATACATGGACAAAGGTAACAGCCGTTGTCAGTTTTGTATCTGGCAGTATTTCCATGAATGCTTCATGCCTTAAGTAGAATTATATATTTTTTAATTGATGTGTGTATATAGTGAGCTTTTTGAACCGTCATGGAATGCTTATTTCCTGTGTTCAAAATCTACATGACTATAGTGTATTTAAAACTTAAGTGTCCCCATCTTTTTTCTTTAACCTGAAATATGACCTTTACCAATTCTAAATCTTGCTTTATTTACTACAAATTCATGGATTTACACCACTTTAATTATATTTTGGGTATGATGAGGTAGTAACTCTTAAAGTACATTGTACAAATACAAATACAGATGTATAATGTATCGAGCTCAGTGAGCTGTTTAGATAAATTTTGTATTTATAAATATCTTGTAAATACATGTAGGTATTGGTATTGAGGGTGTTTATGTGCAGGGCAGCTCTTTTGCTTATGGAATATGATGTTTGAATTCAATCAATCAAAACCATGCTTAGAAATTGAAATACCTGTAATAAATATGTTTATTTTTGTTATAAAAAATCTCTGCCTAAATCATTACCAGTATGTAGTGCTCAATGAGATCATTCTGCCGTTATAATAAGAGGTACATTATTGATTTTTTTTTAAATTATGATCAAAGTGTTGTTTAAAAAAAATCTAAACAAAGTTGTTGCTTGGCGGAGGTGGCCAGATGGGGTTGGCACCCCCAAATTGCTCAAAATTGTGCAAGTATATAAATGCACAATATATAGTATATTGGCAAAGAAAGAAATAAGGACCCCCTGATAAACTTGTCGCATTGAATGCATACTGATTTAATTGTGTACGTCTTATTATGAAAACCACATACCTACCAATCAACAAGGTCTCAGAATATTTAACTTGGTGAGCCAGGGAGTCGTTCCAAATTCAGGACAAAATACTTTAATGGGCAAAAGCTTCAACTGAATACCAAAGTTGGCTAAGTATTTTACCTATGCAGAAACTCGAATAATATATTTATTTTACCGGTACTAGTTGTTTAATACACATTTACTTCCATTTGCAGATCAAGATTTAGTTAATGATTACACATGGAATCCCAGTTTATTGATCTTTTATGATGTGTGATGTTTTTTTATTCATTATTTTTTACCACTTCAGCATTTTGTAATGTAAATGTTGAAACGCATACTTGTTATTTCAACCCTTATAGAAGTTACTGAAAGGCAAGGTATTTCACCGACATTGCTTCCACTGCTGTAATTATTTTCAATTGCGCCATCTTTTGGTGCAGGCTTACATAGAGTGATTTCCTGTTCCTGTACCCAAGCATTAACACAGGCGCGTCATGCAGTGTGTGATGCATTGTATTTGTGGGACATGGCTGTCAATACATTGGGACATTGGGAGCAGCGGATGGCAGTACTAGTATACATAAATCTGAGTCTGAAGTAGTATCAGTAGAATACCCTGCCTTTAATAGCAGTTGCCAACAAAAGTGGTCAGTCTAAAAAATATGGTTGTTAGCAGAAGGTTGCACAATAAACAAAGCAGCATCTCCAGGATCGTTCCATAATTATTCCTACATTTCTTTAATTATTATTTTTTTTTGGGGGGGGGGGAGGAGAGGGGTAAATATTTCTGTTTATTTTTTCTCCTGGTTTTAATTTCAAACTGATATGAACGTACTGCATATTTGCAAGATTTGATACACTAATACTAGTTTTTCTTCAAATCAATTTGGAACATAAAAATCTGCAGTAAGGTAATCTGATTATGATTTTATTCATGTAATGGTTGTTTACATATTACATGTAATTGTGAAAATGATTGAATTTTCCCTTTTGCCTTTTTCTCTACATTATGTATAGTGTATTCAAGTCCTTGCCAGTTTGTTTTTAATTCTTATGAAATTCCCTCTGCTGCCCAATCACCTATTTTTTGTTAATATGTACTTGTAAATATTATAGTTATTGGTATAAAGGTAAATAAAATAAGTAATTTTTTGCACAAGTCAAACTGGAGCCAGCCTCAGTTGTAATTTTGTTTTTGTGTCTAAGTATTGTGTTGAATGCTGAACAAAACGTGAAAAAACACCTCAAAAATGTTGTGCAATTCAAGTTGTATATTGATATCTCTCTTGTTAGTATATTAGTAGTTAATCATACTTGCATTGGAGTAATTCGAAAAAACGGCACGTTTGTTCCCCTTTACAATGATGCCACATTGAGTATGTAATCGGGGAATGTGTAGTACACCTGAATATGGGGCCAAGTCAAAAATTTGTTGTCAATGGGGAATTCTTCATGTGTTTGGAAGATCATTGTCTTTTGAAGGAATTTCAATGCATTTTGCAACATTTCACTTTTGACTTGGCCCCATTTTCAAGTTTAATGCCAAATCCATAATTTCATTAAAAAGTGCATGAGTCTGACAGCCCATAAGTCGAAATTGAACCCTAAACAATTTGTCAGGAGGTGTGAGAATTTTTTTGTTTGGTCTTTCTTTCATTCTTCTTTTTGTTTTCTTTCTTCTTTTTCTTCTTTTTCTTTCTTTCTTAATGTTTCCTTCTTTTCTGTTTTCTTTTCTTCTGAATCATGTTAAATATTTCCAATTTACCCCTAAGGCCTAAAAAAAAGGTGTTGTATTGCCCTTTAGGTGCCAAAACATGGGTCGGTCGGAAATCTTTCCAAAAAAAATGTTAACTCCCTCTTTTGGCTGATATTTCTCAGTTTTGAATGCTTTAATACATTTTTTCCCTCCAAAAAACAGTAATTTTTTTTTAAAAAGCCGACCGGAGATTTCAACATTTTTGGGTCGGTCGCAAATGGGCAATACAACATCTTTTTTTTTATAGGCCTAATACTTGTACAGGTAATCATGGACCCTACTTTGTGGTAGGTCCATGATGTAATCAAAATAAAAAAGAGAACCCCCCCCCCCCCCTCCCCCACCCCATCTTAAAAATGTCCTCAATTAATTCTGTATTTCAACTTTTGCAATACAGATCTAGAGAGCAATTTACAAAGTTTTATCTATTTTATGACAATTTATCATAGATATCTTTTAATGAAAATAATAGGATCTTCTAGATCTATGCAATTTATTCAAAACGCCCTCTCATGATCACACCTGTACAGGAGCTTTGCTAAAAAATTGTAGCCATATCATCGTATAGACGTCCAAATTTGCTTTGAAATACCTACCTAGTACCTTGAACGATGCATGGTCTCGGAATGCAACCAGTAAGTTTATGATTTAAGATCTATTTTCATAATTGTATGTTGTATATGAGATACGGAAGTGACTTTTTTATAAGGATATAAAGCCATGAATGATCATCGACAGGAACGTTCGCCTCGGTATATTTAGGTCCCACCTACTGAATATTGTGTACAGTAACCCGCATTTAATACGACCGCTAAAAAATTCGCATTTGACTCTTTTGAGTCTAGATCTATGATTTTGAATTTGAGTCGACTAAATTTAGTGAATCCAGACTCCGCATGTCAATTCATTATCTCAGCTTTGGAATTTACATTACCCAAAATGCTTACGAGCGTTTGTTAGTCTATATTAGACTTTTTAGAGTCTAGATCTATGTTTTTCTTCTTCAAATAAACGAGGCGAGCCGCAAGGTGTCGTACTCGTAGAGTAAAGGAGCCGGTAATCGGCCAGCTCCAGTTTTCGGCCGATTGGTTGGATGCAAGGTAAAATCCCTCTAAAATACATCGCATAATAGCATAACACATATCCCACACATACCATACCATGCCAGTGTCACTGAAGAACCACGTTTGCAATGAAAAATATATCCTAAAATATCACATTTTAGCGATGTAATCGGCGGTCCCGCTACCCGAATCTGAAAAATCAAGTATCTTGCGCGTGTCTGTAAGAAATATGGGTACCATAAAATGAGCTTTATTTCAAGTATTTTTCAGATTTAGAGCCCGATTTTGTGCTATCTCATGTATCTCATCGCATGTATTAAATTAGACCGAATTTTCCGTCTCTTTCGTTCGTTAGCCTCTTATTGGGGTAGGGTCGGCTCTCTCTTTAGAGACGGAAGCCGTTTATACACATGTCCTTGCTAACGCCACGGCCAGTCCTGGTCGTAGCGTTTTGCTCCCAAAATCCCCCAAAATGTCATTTTACCTCGAGCATGTTATATTGTAAATTAGGCCTAGGCTATAATAAATCAGTTCCACTTACCAACTTGACTGAAATAATCAGTTTAATAGTCCCTTTTTAGGAAATTATGGGTCAAAATCGGAATCCATGTTGAAAAAGATTTTCAAAATGGATTTCGATTTTGACCCATAATTTCCTAAAAAGGGACTATTAAACTGATTATTTCAGTCAAGTTGGTAAGTGGAACTGATTTATTATAGCCTAGGCCTAATTTACAATATAACATGCTCGAGGTAAAATGACATTTTGGGGGATTTTGGGGGCAAAACGCTACGACCAGGACTGGCCGTGGCGTTAGCAAGGACATGTGTATAAACGGCTTCCGTCTCTAAAGAGAGAGCCGGCCGACCCTACCCCAATAAGAGGCTAACGAACGAAAGAGACGGAAAATTCGGTCTAGTATTAAATCAATGCAGCCGCACACCGCAACGCACACACGATATCTCTGTCTAATTCAGATTCCAATATCCGATCACCGCAGTACTAGTTTTCGGCCTGGCAAGCTCCGGGGAGCTCCGGCGTGGGATATCTGCTCTGCCCGCTAGTGCTATAGATCAGCGCGGAAACGCACGGTGCGTGCGCGCGCTTCCTATTGACTTTGTACATGCGGCCGAAAACTGGTACGCTATGCCGAAAACTGACTCCGAAACAGTGAAAATTGAAATGAATTTTGTCATGGCAATTCGTGATTTTTTTCTGGGATTCTTGTTTTGTTTAAATAATAATAATATTTGCTTCATGATTTGAACAAAAAATGATAATAAATAGGAAGTAAAGGGTCCAAAAAATAGGATTTTGTCTTAAGTGGCCGAAAACCAGCTCCTTTACTCTACAAAAGTCACTAGAATCTAGACCTTAGGCTTAGACCGAATTTTTCTGTCTCTTTCGTTCGTTAGCCTCTGATTTGGGTAGGGTCGGCTCTCTCTTTGAAAAACTGTGCATGTCATTACAAACTCGTAGCTCGTGCACAGTTTTTCCGTTATAATATAATCATTATGCCTTTGGCGTAGACTAGAAGGGATGAGATTTAGATGAGGTCATGCGCAGCGAGAGTTTTAAACCACCGCTGCAAGAGTTTTATCATGGATGTCGATTTTGACCCATAATTTCCTAAAAAGGGACCATTAAACAGATTATTCCAGTCAAGTTGGTAAGTGGAACCGAAGTAGTTAAGCCTAGACCTAATTGTCAAAATGAAATGCACCGGATATGCATCCTGTGAAATATGGAATTTGGCCGGTAGTTTTGCCAAGTTTGGTGTAACGTTTCTTTACACAAAGCTTGAACACTAAAGCGTATAGGGCTGTTCTGTCTCTAAAGAGAGAGCCGACCCTACCCAAATTGGAGGCTAACGAACGAAAGAGACAGAAAAATTCGGTCTAACTAGACCTAGGCTGTACAGGCAAATTCATGCAAAAAAAATTATTAAAAACACATCAGACAATTAGTCTGAACAGAGTCAGGAGCAAATTTGAAGAAATTATCTTTTTAATTGTTGTAGGCCTACAACCAACGATATAAGAAGAAAACTGACCAAGTACTGAAGTAGACTATTCGTACTAAAAATCGTACACGTAAAAATGTCCTTAGGCTTAGACATTCGACAGCTGAAAATGACGCACACGGTTGCGTTACGTGTGTTCCCGAAACCAAAATCGTACCTTGCAGGCTCGCACACACACTCTCGCCATACCACGAATGGTCCGTCGTGGGAAGCTAGCGGGCTGGGAGTTTGCCAACGAGACCAATGCACCTTCGGAGCTCCACAGCGCGCAATTTTAGCGGAACACAAAAGGTTCCCGGTGGGAAGGTGGCAAGCTAGCTTTTTCGCCAAAACAACGCTAGATCGGCTGCTGGCAAAATTAAAATAACTACGATCGAGAACATCGTCGGTTTCTTAACTTTTCAGTGAGATAATTCTGAATTCTAATTGAGACTATATAATAAATTAAATCGACAAAGAAACCTTGTTAGATCTCTAATAACTAGACTATACAAAAGCTTGTTTATTTCTTCATTTGACATTTTGTTTTCGAGCCATTTTTTCGTGCGTCAATGAGTCAATGAGTCAATGCAAACTATGTATTACCAAACTTTCAACACGCAAGGCCAGGAACAGGGAACACTCGCGGACCTCGTATCAAATTTGTTGCAATTTTTTTTTCAAGGGTGAAGCAGTGAAGAAAATTGGCGCTGCGATGCACAGAAATATACTTGAAATAAACTTAAAAAATCACACCTGAATTTTCAGAAAATCGTATTTGTATTACTGTACCTAGATCTAGTTGTGATTTATTTATTACTCAGATTCTATGTAGATTTGTCGGAAAAAAATGTCAATTTTTTTCCGTTTGGTGGTCATTTCTAGGTTAATATTTAAAAAGTTGCATCAGTAATGGACCCGATGTTTCTCTACTCATACTCGCATGTTATTTCTATTTAGATTAAACATAGGATGGTTAGGAGTAAGACCAGATAACATGAAAAAGATATATACCCTTCCACCCTGCCATATCCAAGTTTTGGGCTGATTAGTGCCGACTCACGGTCAATTCAGATTTCTGTACGCGCGCAAAGCGCCCTCTAGTGCCCCATGAATGTGCCTAACTACACACACAAAAAAAAAAAAGGTTTAGCGTTGCCAATTTGTGTTGCGTTGCCCTTCACGGATGCCATTTTACACAAATTGCTATTAGCTCTATAGAAAGTAAGTATAAAATTGGCAATGGGGCAATTCCACGGTAACGGAAGGACACTCAGACAAGATTTTTGAACTTCAGGTTCATACTAAAAGAACTGTTTTATTAGTATAAGATGTGAAACAGTACAGATATAATACCTATATAAGTGCCTTTAATTCTCCCCCAAAAAATTGTCATTATAGTTAAGTAGTTTAAGAATGTGCATATTAATTATCTCGGTAACGGAAGGACATAGAAATGGACATGGTTTTTCCAGTTAATTAGTGTTTATCCAAACTTTTTGAAGTTGATGAAGCTTTCCACTTGACTGAAACACATTTTGTTCCCCATAGTTTAATACATACTAATAAAACATTTCTTTTAGTATGAACCTGAAGTTCAAAAATCTTGTCTGAGTGTCCTTCCGTTACCATGGAATTGCCCAATGTGAAAACGTTTTTTTTTTCTTCCTAGAGTCTACACAGTTTGTACAAAATGGCTGCATTCTGTAATTTCCACAAAGTGCACGTGGATGAAAGGAAGTGCGCATACATGTAATGTATGTGGCACACTCATACAAATCTTACGTGCGAACAGGCATACAAGATTTCTCAGTCTTGCATCATCAATTTAAAGGTATAGATCAGTTTTGGAAAGTGGAAACGTCTCCCTCTCAAAAAATGTACAGTGCTTGTAACTTTACCAAGACTAGGCCAAATTTCTTATCATTTTGATGATTCCAGAACCCTGCGGTCTGTCTTGTGGTCAACATTTTTTCCAACAGGGTGTTTTATCACTAAAGATAATCTTGGCTGTTGCATCGAAAACCTGTGGCCATATTCTTTTAAAATCAATAATTTAGAAAACGAACAAAGGCGTGGTGGTAGTGCTACTGGAATACTGAAGAACGCTTTTTGTGTCTTGGGCGCTCTTTCTATACAGGTTTCACTGTATCACTTACCGGTATCTATTTTCTTGTATCCCCTCAAGCGCCTTGGAGGAGCTGCCATTCCCCCTCCCCAAGCCCCATCTTCCATCCCTCCAATGGCACCTGTGGAAAGAGAAAAGATCTACCAATGGATTGTAGAGCTAGCAAGCCCTGACACAAGAGAGAATGCCCTCCATGAACTAAGGTAGGTACCCAGAGGCATGAGACTTTATAGTGATGAGAGTGTGTCACTTGGTATATGATATGTTCGTATGAGTGACAAACAAAGTCCTCCTTTAAAGATGTTCATGCGTGGGTATATAGTCGTTCGTGAAGTAAAAACTAAGCCAACGGGTATTACGCTCCTGTGCGTACGTTCATGTGCTGCCCTCTATATACCCACGCATGAGCACTTTTAAGATGTGATGTACTAAATGCTACTTCATCTGTTGACTTCTAACCAATCTACTATATTTATATAATAGCCATGCATCTCTTGCATTTGTAAAGAGCATCAGGATTGTTAGAATCAGGTCCATTTTAGAATGAAACTTTTTTTCTTCAAAAGGGAAAAATCTAATCGTCCTTTCAAATCAGTTCTATAAAATGATGAAACATGTAATCACTCAAGGATCATATAAGTGAATACTGGATAGCATCCTTTGGGTTTTAGTAAGGGGATTTCAGAAAAAAATGCCAAGGGGAAAAGGAGGGCAAATTCTCCCATGCCAGAGTACCTGGTATAGACAAGGAGGTGTTATAGCACATTTGCGAACAAGAAAAAATACTTTAAAGGACCACTGCACTACTTGTAGCTACTTGCGCCCTCTATATAACAAACAATGCCTAATCGGTGACCATTGGTCCCCCATGATCCTCTTTTTCTTATGTTAACTGAGAGCTGAGTTGATGAGATAACCACCTGTCCAGTGACCTTGCAGGGTGGTCTAATCCCTCCTGTAAACTATGGCAGATAAGCTTTAATCCTTCCAAATCAGTGTCAAGGATGCTGCGTGAGTAATGATTTTAACTTTCACTAAAAGTATATACTGGTAGTTAACTACCGAGAATCCTATGAAGACTGAATTATCATTAGATGTGATAGAAATTTTCATTCGTTTTTCATGCTCTTGTAAGTCAAACTGGATTTTGTGGTAATGTAATGCTCATAATGCTCTTCATTTGCTTCAATTTCCTGCTTTACAACAGTAAAAAGCGTGAAGTGGTTCCAGACTTGGCGCCAATGCTGTGGCATTCCTTTGGGACAGTGGCTGCACTCCTTCAAGAAATAGTCAACATTTACCCCTACATCAATCCACCTGCACTCACAGTAAGTACATGACATCTGAATAGAGCAACAAGGACGTTAAATCATATTCTATAATACAGAGTGAATGCCCTTCTAGCTCTGAACAGATAATAAACAAGTCATTTAAAATCAAAGATTTTTGAAAATTTGTGTGAAGCTACATTTTTGGGCAAGTCCAAGGTATTGGTCATTTAGTGTCCCATATGTTACAAAGAATTGTTGAGCTCTTGGTTTAAAGCAATGAGATATTTTGAAAAAAACTATGTATTTCTTCTTTTTCTTTCTAATCCCATTATTTTCAGGCCCACCAGTCAAACAGAGTGTGCAATGCCTTGGCTCTGCTGCAATGTATAGCATCACATCCAGAGACGAGATCAGCATTCTTACAAGGTAAAACAGCATTTTTAATATTCTGTACAATGGCTGTAATAAACCAGTGCAAAGCTTATTTTGCTTAACAGGGGCTCTTTTCAGATTTGTATAGTTACAGTGAGATTTCAGTACCATGGCTGGTATTTATTTGATGTATACCAGAGCTTTTTTCTTCTTTTTTCCAGAGCTTGTATGGAGCTTCCGTATCAAATCACTCACTGTCCTTATAATTGATAATGTAATCAAGTTAAATAAAAATACAGGTTTAAACAAACATGAAATGCATTTTACTATAAATGTAAGCCCTATTGGCATTTCAGTATAAGAGAGGATGAAATTATTCATTTTCTGGAAATTAATTCAATCGCTAATTCGCTATGAATGTGCACAACTGTGTCTTCATGATAAGTCACATTGTTATATATATATCTTGGTTTCTCTGCAGCACACATCCCTCTGTTCCTCTACCCCTTCCTGCATACTGTCAGCAAGACACGCCCATTTGAGTACCTCCGTCTTACAAGTCTGGGTGTCATCGGTGCTCTTGTCAAGGTAAATTTATCTGATGTCTTTAGGGGCATTGTGAAGAAGTGTCCTTTTGATTTTTTATCAAGAGGTCATAAGTCCAATTCAATCCCAGCCTTGTGCATGCTCCTGTAGACAGATATCATCTGCAGTTGTTTCTCCATACCCAGGTATCTGGTGAAAAGAAATGCATGTACTTTGAAATTGGGAGCTTGACATAACTCAGTATTAAGTTATTTGGAGCATGAACATAATGGTGATAATAATATGCAGTTCTTGTATAGCTCATAGCTTGTATAACATGTCTATATAGTCTAGAATGCTGCAGTCCACATCAGAAATTCCACGTTGCACTTCCTGCACGAAGAATAAAACAGGAGATATAATAGACCAGAAATTAAGTAAATGGAGTATAATTGAAGTTTAACAGAAACTGGTTCTCAAAAGGTTCTAATGTTGGTGCATTTCTGTAATCTGTGAGTTCCTTCCAGTTACATGCTGCATGTGACAGGGTTGACCTTATCTCACTAAGACTGTTGCAACTCTTCATTTTTTTTTGCAGACTGATGAACAAGAGGTAATCAATTTCTTACTGACGACAGAGATCATCCCACTCTGTTTGAGGATCATGGAGAGTGGCAGTGAGCTCTCAAAAACAGTAAGTTTACATCCATGAGAACAGCCAGGGAGGTTTTTACATTATTACCAGATTTCAGGCCCAGTGACCTATTTGGTTAAGGCCATTAAAAGTGCATACCGAGTCTCTTTTTAGCGGTAAAGGCAACCGATATCTCCGTAATTTCATGGACTTTTTTATGCCTCCGCCACCGAAGGTGGTGCCGGAGGCATCATGTTTTCGGGTTGTCCGTCCGTACGTCCGTACGTCCGTACGTCCGTCCCGTTTGACCGTTATCACAATATCTCAAGAACCATTTAAGATTTAAACTTAAGACTCGGGAAAAGTATTTATCACCATAGGAAGACGATCTGATTAGATTTTGGAGTACGTAGGTCAAAGGTCACAGGTCACAGAGGTCAACTTATGAAATTCCTTGTATTGAGTTTGTTAGCGCGATATCTCAAGAACCATTTGAGATTTAAACTTCAAACTTAAGGATAGTATGTATCACCATAGGAAGATGATCTGATTAGATTTTGGAGCACGTATGTCAAAGGTCAAGGGTCACAGAGATCAACTTATGAAATTCCATACATTGAGATTGTTATCATGATATCTCAAGAATCACTGGAGATTTAAACTTCAAACTTAGTGATAGTGTGTATCACTATAGGAAAACAATCTGATTACATTTTGGAGCACGTAGGTCAAAGGTCAAGGGTCATAGAGGTCAACTTATGAAATTCCATACATTGAGATTGTTATCATGATATCTCAAGAACCACTGGAGATGTAAAAACTTCAAACTTAAGGATAGTAAGTATCACCATAGGAAGACGATCTGATTATATTTTGGAGCACGTAGGTCAAAGGTCAAGGGTCACAGAGGTCAACTTATGAAATTCCATACATTGAGATTGTTATCATAATATCTCAAGAACCACTGGAGATTTAAACTTCAAACTTAATGATAGTGTGTATCACCATAGGAAGACAATCTGATTAGATTTTGGAGCACGTAGGTCAAAGGTCAAGGGTCACAGAGGTCAACTTATGAAATTCCATACATTGAGATTGTTATCATGATATCTCAAGAACCACTGGAGATTTAAACTCCAAACTTGTTTAAATTGCTCTATGGCGGAGGCATCATTTTCGACTGCGCGCAGTCAAAATTCCATCTAGTTTACTAAAAGAAATATGGCATGCCTTTTAAAGATACTATGTTCCTTTTGCAGCCTACATCAAATTCTGTAGAACTTTGCAGGAATTATGAATATGTCATGTATGTCCTACATGTATCTGTGGAATTTAAACGTTAGCAGTGTCCTAATATTCAAATTATTCAAGGAAACCTGTTTACTTGCTAGACTTCACTGTCAGACACTATTGAGTGAATGACTGGCTTTTTTCCTTCTTTGGTAATAACATCCATAAAATGAGCTGTACAAGGGTACATGACCATTTGTCTACATCAATAACCCACTTCTTGTAATGTCCAAAATTAAACTGATTGAATCTTTGTGCAGCATAAAACGTATGACCATTCGGTACAATCGTCTGAAAATCAGACTATTTCTTACTGGCTCTATAGCTCCTAAGTCGATTTGACAACTAATAGTCGTTAATTTCCCACTTACCGGTAATGACATTTTCAAGCCCCCCTTTTTTTAGGGAAGTTCTAAATTAGTATTATCTTTCAAATGCCGTTGGAATTTAACCTTTTCATTTTTTTGGCCTGCAAATGGGACATAGTCCCTTTAAGAGCATGATTACAAATATTTAGCTTTGTCAAAACTCTAACTCTGGCATTTCGACTACACCTTCAAAATTATCTTCTTTTTTTTCTTTGATTTGTTAAATATTATTTTTATTTTCATTTAAGTGACATATGTTTTTCTTCTAGAGGTATCTGTCAAAAGAAAGATAAAATACAAGATACCAAAAATAAGGAAACAAAACCTACATATACACAAAGTCACGGTTATTCCATTTTATGTAATATTTTAGCAACCCAATTTCAATAGTGACATCAGTAAACTCTTTATCTTCCTGTCTTTTGTTCAGGTTGCTACCTTCATTCTGCAGAAGATTCTTCTAGATGAGACAGGTCTTTCCTACATCTGTCAGACGTACGAGAGATTCTCTCATGTAGCTATGATACTAGTAAGTAGGAAAAGAGAAATAGCATTCCCAACATGATGTGTTTAATTATAATAATAATACTTGTGTAATCTTATAGGCCCGAATTCACAAAGGAGGTTTACATTTAACCCATGGTTTAAACCTTCATTTACATAACCCATGGTTTAAAAATTAGCGCAAATAAGCGTACCTTGTCTTGCGCGCGTTTAATATTGGACCTCTTATTTTGCGCTAATTTTAAACCATGGGTTATGTAAATGAAGGTTTAAACCATGGGTTAAATCTTAACCTCTTTTGTGAATTTGGGCCATAGAGTGCACACACCGTCCAGGGACGCTCATGGCGCTAGCCCAGCAACAGTTCCCTGCAGTGTCATATTTGAAATCAACTAGAGGATCTGAAACTTATCACCATTCTATTATCTGACCTCTGTTAGTCATCTTCATCTTTCAGCATTGTTATTCAGATATCTTTGCAGAATAACCCCTTTAAAAGTACACCAGCAAATAAAGCAATTTTCTAAAAAATAATTTTCAAATATAATACGAACCCCGTTTAAAAGATGTTGTAAGACTTGTGTCACTTGCATAAAGAGTGATCTTTCCCTTGTCAGTGATAGAGAAAAAGGTCTTGTATTCGTAAGTTATTCACAAAGACTGTATAATGTGTTATTAGGTTTAACAAGTTGAGCAATGCTTGCCCTCGAAAAAGAGAATATGTCTGGTAAATGAGAGTTGCGTGTCTGTGGTCGTTATGCAATCCAGGGAGATTTAGTACTACGCTTGATAAATGACTTTCTTCACATATATAAAATATATTTTGTCTATTCATCTGAAATTCATGCATTTCATCTTGTTCTGATTGCTTGCAGGGTAAGATGGTGATAGCGCTGGCGAAGGAACCATCTGCAAGGCTCTTGAAGCACGTTGTTAGATGCTACCTCAGACTTTCAGATAACCAAAGGTAAATACTTATTTGAAGTAATGTAGTCAAAAATCTCTTGTGAAAGGATCCCTTCTTTTGAAAGAATCCACTGTAGTTCACATTGAACTGTTGTATCTGAAAGTTGTAGACCTGTTTCTCAATGTACCCAAATTAGAGAGAGGAACCAATTTATGTTTAAACAGAAAATGTATTTAATGAATAATCAAACCTGCTTCTACAACAAAAATTACTTGTATTTGAACTACTCTCAAAGTGAATGAATCACCATGCTCAGAATTTTGGGGCGAATGTTCAGAACCGTAGTGTAAATGGGAAACATTGGCTCTTTGCATTAAAATAGCTTTGACCTTGCCATTTTGATGGATGCAAACAATTAAGGAGCATTGGGATATGGTTAAGTCACTGCCCAGTGTCTATGCCATTACACAAGGCATTTTATCTACAGTTGTGTTTCTCAACCCGGATGTGAAATGGGTACTATCTTGCAGAATGTTTTTCTTGATTTCACTCTATGGGTTGATGATGGTTGCCATAGCTTTAGCTAGGGTGATTATGTTCAAACCAATTTGGAGGTGTGCACAGGAACATTATTTCATATGATATCATATGTTTTCGAGCCAGAAGGGCATTACCTCTGTGTACATGTTTAATGATACTTGCTCCCCTAAAACATTATGCACTTTACATATACAGAATGTTAAAGCGGGACTGCACTACTTGTAGCTACGTGTGCCCTCTATATAGCAAACAATGCGTAAATGGTACCCATTTGTCCCCTATGATCCCCTTTTGCTTATGATAATTGAGAGCTGATTTGATGATATAACAACCTATCAGTGACCATGCAGGGAGGTCTAATCCCTCCTGGCCTAGTGCAGATAGGCTTTACATTCATGATGGCCTCTACTTGTTTTTCTGCACTCACACAGAGCCCGGGGTGCACTCAGGCAGTGCCTCCCAGACCAGCTCAAGGACCAGACCTTCATGGCTGTCCTCAAGGATGACAACTCCACCAAGCGCTGGCTGGCCCAGCTTATCAAGAACCTTACAGAGACTAGCGCTATGGATCCAAGGGGAATCCCCATGCCGCCACAATGACAGAGTGCCGACCAACAAGCCTAGCTTGCTTGGTCACATAATATAGAAAGGTTGTGGAAGGAGAAGTATGTGTTTGTGTTTTGTCTGTTCCCCCCTGCACCTTTTCTCTTTCTTATTCTACTTTCTTTACTTGTCTTCTAGGTTTTTTCTTCAGTTTCTCACAGGAACCATTATTAATTAAATGATGAGTTGCCCACTTTCCTAGGATCATGAGTCAAAGCAATTAAATAAGATAATTTCTACAAATTTCTCTACTTTCAATGGTTTTGACATGTTTATCTGGACAAATTTGAACTTCCTTTAATGAGGCTCTAACGTTTTGATAGGGGATGTAATCTTGGAGAAACATTTATCTTTTTCATATAAGAATTTTTTTTAAAACCAATTGATTTTCCAGTGTAAGAGAAGTAATGGATAGAAAAAGGATAAACGTATTGGTTTTTAATTGTTTTTCTTCTCTCTCTCCATCTCTCTCTCTCTCTCTCTCTCTCTCTCTCTGTTTTTCCCTTTCTCTGTTCTTTCACAGTGGCATCTTGATCTTTCTTCATTATTCTAAATGAAAATCCTAAACTATCTCTGTCTATCTTCTTTGCAGGGTAAATATTGTCCCAAGGGCAAATGTATTAAATGTTTTTTGAGCCAGTTTTGCATTGCTGTAATGTGATAGGTGGCTGAGTATGTCTAGACCATCTTGGGTCTATGTGGGGTAAGATTATGCAATGGGTAGATGTTCTAAAGCGAGTGTACTGGGCTGCTAGAAGGCACCTTTAAAAATATTACTGGGTAGTGACTTCTTAAAAACACCATGCTAGTGTCCGAGTATGATCCAACCTAGTTACAATAAGACTGCGCCCAGTGAGGCCTTAGAGAAGTGCCATCTAATGCTCAAAAGAAACCGCTAATGTGCAGTGGTTTACCGCATGTGCAGCAGTTTACCACAACATTTTTGTGTGTATTACATGAATGGCAAGTGGGGATAAAAAAAAGGTAGCTGAATGGAACAATTGTCCTACATGCATCCACACATTTGTATGATATGAGATACAATGATGTAAAGTGTGGTACATGTATTAAAGTATGTTGAATAAATCCAGTGCTCAGTAAACAACCACCAGTTTTCTGTGGCTTGTGAAAGCGGTTTCAGGCTTGATTTTGACTGGAAGAATGGTGATATGTATAGAAAAACGCATTCAGAAGATTTGTTTACAGTCACGGTACATGTACCATACATGTACCAGAAATTTTTGTGAACTGTTTGTGACCGCCAATTTTCTGGCAAGAAACTTTCACTTATTGTAAAACTCAAAATTGTCATGGTTTTTATTGCACAATTTTGCTGCAAAAATGACAAATTTTGTGAAGCCGCACACTCATGAGCTGGTTTTACAGTAGTGTTCAAATAACAATATAACTATGTACCAGTTATGACTAACAAACTTATTAGTCAGCACACCTTTTGGACACTTTCTCAGGTATACTGTGAAAACTTGCCAAGTTTAGAGTGATGAAATCAACAGCTCTGGTGCATCTGAAAGTATTTTTAAAGATTTTGTTTGTATATAACCATAATGATGATCAATTCACTCATACAGTCTGGTAAATAAGACCATGTTTTGTAAATAGATGCATGTATGTTCATGTATGTGTATAAAATCAAACTGTAAACAGCTGTATGTAAATAAAAGTAATGCCTTTGAGGATGTGACATCCTACACGAGGCGGTAAGCCATTTAAAGACTTGTTCCAATACATGTTAACTACAAGGCGTTTTTTAAAAATATAATGACCCAAAGAAAGTGTAATACACTTAATAACATTTCTGTATCTTTACTCTTGTAATGCAGAGCTCATTAACATGTAATAGAAATATGCAGTGGGTTTTTTTGCGCCAGTTTTTCACATCATATCTGAGCTTTAAGAAGATATCTGCCGTAAAAATGTAAAATTAGATAAGTCTATTGTGGATCACATAACTGTATATCACAATATACAGATGCATACGAGTTGTGTTAAGTTTGGTTTTTGTTACAAGACATTGGCTTGTGTTCTCTTTGTCTAAATGCACATCAAATTTGGCCACAGTGTTTCTTTAAGTGGTTTATTTTGTTTCATGTCCTTATGGGGATTCAGGTATCCTTAGCACTTATCATTTTTGATTTCATGTTCAATCTGTTTTATAACCAGATTAAAGGGGAAGTCCACCCTAATATTAAGTTGGCTAAGTAGAAGCAAACAAATGAGAGGAACAGGTCAGTGAAAGCTTGAGCAAAACACGAGTAAAAATAAGTAAGTTATGCATTTTTGAATTTTTGAAAGTGCAATCAATCACATATTCTCTGGGACGTATCTTGCTAGGTCCCATTCCATTTACCCTGTACTAAAAAACATTAAATTTATGATTTCCCTTAAGAAAATTTTCAATCAATCATGCACCCAATATAAAATTATTGCAAATAAATTTGTAGACAACCCTTGTATGAAATAAATCCATTTCATCATCAATAACTAAGAATTTTTTGTTGTTTCTGTACAGAGCAAATTGGAGAGGAGCTCGCAAGATATTTCAGTGTTGCCAATTTGTGTTTCACTGATGAAAACTTCAAAAATTAATAACTCTACCATATTTTAAATTGGATATTGTTCAAATTTTTTTCATTTGGTTCTTCTTATTTTTCTGCTTTGATTAAAACCAACATATTTATCAGGGTGGATTCCCCATTAAAGAAAAGGTTGAGTTTTTGGAAAGGTGAAAAATAATTTGTGAGCTTTTTCTTTCTTTCATGTCAGGTAGTATATTGAAATATGACAAGTTAACACTAAAGGTTGTCAACAACACTTTCATGCAACATATTTGTGAAGTCCCACATACACATTTCTGTGTACAGTGAATGTAACTGTTTGCAAGACTGCCAATTTCTTACATTTGGATGATTAAAAACCTCACAGTATGTGCCACATGATCAATCCTTTCTGCTTGCTTCCACAGTTTCTTTTACAATGCAGTCATATGATTAGCACCCAACTGTATATTCAAAATGATGTCAAAGCAGATGCAACCAAATGGTGATTACATATTGGTTGTCTTTGACTGCTAAACAATTAAAATCTACATGAGTAATTACAGTATTATATTTTATGTACATGTGAATAGATAACAAATGACACAAAATTGACAAAGCATGGTTCAATATTCAAATATGAAATGATTTACTTCCAAAGGAAAGTTAAGTACTTTTCTCATAAATAAATTTTAGGCATGTTTTACCAACTTACTGGCAAGTTATATGGTTTGCAACTGAACTTTTTTCATCTTTTTAAAGTGAAAAACTAAACTCGACTATCTATAAATATACAACGTCATGAAAGAAAGAGGTAAGGAAGTGTCCATCATCATGTAGCATTACATGACTGAACATATTGGCTTAAAGATTTTTTTTCTTCATCCATACTATTGATAAACCTTTTACGTATTTGTACACCTGGGAAGAATCATATATATCTTGAGGGGTAGTGATTTGTTCCTGTATTGAAGTTTGTCAATTTTTGTTGATTCCAAATGCAACTGTAAAACATATTATATGCTTGTCATTATTTTGTTGATTAAAGAATGAAACAGCCCCACTACTTTTATCCAGTGTGAATTTATGGCCATTTACAGTGTGATTTACCACAATGATATCACAATACACATCACATTTAATATATTTATACAACTATTTATACAATTCCTACAATATCAACAATAAAATATGATATACCTTTGCACAAAATAATAAAAATCTGAATGACTGTCTTCTCTCTGTTAGAATACTATCTAATATATAAATACAACATGAAAGTTCTTGTAAGCATAAACTTAACATTCCTTTTCTTTGATTCATATTAAAACAAACGGCTCATATTAAAACAAACGGCTCATATTATATTAAAATCGTATAATTATAAATTTTATATACACAAAATACATTTACAAATGAAAAACAATGTAAAAACTGATTACACAACTTGCTTTTTGTACATACAGTCTACCCTATCTGTCCATTCTATTACTCTCTTTTATGCTTCAAGTATAAAATGATGACCTAACTTTAAACTTATGTTTACATCTTCATTTTTTCAATTACTATATTTGGCATATCTGACAGGTGATTTAATTTTCAGTTTGACTTGAGATGTACAGGGTAAAGAATCTCTCACAAAAAGTTCACAAGTTATGTGGTGGGTGAGAGAACTAAAATACAGGTCAAGTTTGGATGCATTTTTGTGCATTAATCATAGCATATTTTGTTAGGCGGGAAACCATGGGCGCCCCCCTCCCTAATTCTTCACAAACAGCATAGTTTGAATTGTGTTGCACTTTCCGACACATTTTCAGCTTCAGATTTGGTCTGCTATTGGTATGACATCACTCCAGGCTGATTTTACACATTGAAAGGCATGCAGTACCTTTATATACGATTGGAATTTTATTTTTCATATTACCAAAAGAAACCTCCATCAGAAAGATTCTACACATTTGAAAAATCAATATCATATGCTAATTAATGCAATTTCTTTAAGAAATAAGATGGGCAGTCAGATTATGTAGAGCCTGCTGTGGGCTTTAAGAAAAGAAAACATCCTCTATGTGACCACTCTACTTGTAAGCCAAGGTAAGGTCATGTGTTTCAATGGGACAAACTCTAGGATACCGGTATTGAAATGCTATTCATTCATGTAGAATAGGCCATCCTCTTTGGCTTTGAAGACATGACAAGGTGGGCCTTCTCAGGACTGAGTAGTCCAATGGTGACTTTAGGAGGGGTATCCCCTTCTCTCCATCCCGCAGTGCTCTCCAGTTTCACCATCAGAAGCTTGGCAGCTGACATGTAACCTAGAAAATAGATGGCACAGTGGTGGAATTGACAATACACCAGTTTACGGTTATGGGCGCCATTTTATTAGACGGGTAAACAAACCATCGACCTCTAAGAGGTCAGCGGTTTACGCGTAAAGTAAGATAGCGCCCATGCAAATATGATGTGAGCGCACAGCGCAGGCAGTGTCATCAATGTTTTCAGATGCGCACGTATGGTTGCGTCACTGCCTGCGCTGTGCGCACACACTGATCTAATTTGCATTGGCGCTATCCGGCTTTACGCGTAAGCCTCTGACCTCTAGAGGTCATCGGTTTGTTTACCCGTCTAATATATGGCGCCCATGTCTGCGCATGCGCACTGTTGTAAACTGGTGTATTGCTGTGTGGCCAATTTTTACAAGGTAATGTCATCTATCCCTTGACCAAACATCATGCTTTATTGGATCTAAACCTCTCCTACATGTATATCTTTTACAAATGCCAAGCAAAATTCAATAACACTGTTTCATTTGCTTGAATTGGAGAGAATTTTCATTTGACTGACCCCCCTCCCCCCCCCCCCCACACTCCTCCTCACACGAACACACACAAACACAAACATACATTAAAATGAATTAACAATATGACTAATATGATTTTCATTTGGACCAATAGATTGGGGATTTCTAGACAGAGGAATTCAGCCTGCATGCTTTACAGTGAAATGAAATGATGTACAGAGTCCATATACATGACTAACCTGCATTTGCTGCAATATGAATCGGTAGGATACCATCAAAGGTGCTGATTGATGGATTGGCTCCTGAAAACACAAGAAAAATTCAGCAATAAATGTTATATTCTCTCTGCATTCACTCTGGAAATAACACTGTTGAATACAAGCTATATGATTGTATTGATATTTTAAGCAAAGGCATTCATTTGTCATAGTGCAAGCGGAGGGGATTCTTATTGATTTTCAATAAGAATTCTTTTTGTACCGCACTATAGACATTTATAAAATCGTACCCGTCAATAAACTTATACCTGTATATGCCTGAATAATCTTGCCTTGTTCCAAAATAGCACAGACTTTCAGTATGCATTTTAAATTTAAATGTTTCTTCAAATTCTTTCCCTGGGACCTAGAAAGCGTTATGCCATCAACTTGTTATTAATGAATATTTAAACTTCAACACTTGAATCCAGTCTGTATACATTACTTGTTCCTCATCGAACAAGATTCTGGTGAGTTTTCAGGTTGTCAAGAACAAATTTTGTTTAAAAAGTATGCAGAAAATTAGTTAGTGAACCACTCTAATGAATTGACTAGATATCTTACCATAGAGCAATAAAAGCTGAATCATATCTGGATCATTGGTCATGGCTGCAATGTGTAAGGGGGTATCCCCTTTAGTGTTCTGCCCATTCGCATCTGCCCCTGTTCACAATATATATAATCATATAATTCTCACATGTTCAATAATGATAACAGTCTACAAGTAGCTTCAAAGCAAAGGACATATTTTAGTGAAATTGCCCACCCACCAAAAGCCATGATAAAACAAGATATTTGTCACCTACATTGAATTCTAAAATTGGATCCCACATTTTCTCAAAACAAAGGACTTTTACCCATTTACCCATTGTACATCAATATGATTTGCAATACCGATCCTTGTGTAAAAGGGTGGGGAGGGGGATGTTACAATTACTGACACAAAAGCAGCAATTTTCCAACATATTGGAAAAAAAAGTGTCATAAAATGTCCTACAAGGAAAAAAACAGATGGAGGGTTTTCTAAAATGTAGAATTGTTAAATTTACATGAAAAAGTTTAAACTGTGGGTTGTCTTCTCCCTCATCCCCCCCCCCTCCCCTCGCTTCTGCCCTTTGAAATGACATTTTCATAAGGAGTCTTACCACTTTTGAGTAGAATTTCAACGAGGCGTTTGGTTGGATGTCTTGAACCAGATGTTGCAAACACCACAAGATGGAGGCAGGTGTCCCCATGTGCATTCCTTCTTTTCACATCGGCTCCTATCATTGCAATATTAAAAAGAAGAAAATATGAGCTTACTTTGATTCTAGGGGCATCTTCCCCAGCAACAATTGTGGTCATATTCCAACACTAACCAAATTCGTAACTTCAAAGCTGGATTAAACATAGCCAAACCTGAACCCTAACCCCGTTTCTTTAGTGAATAAGTCCTTGAGCATGTAGTGCATAACTCAAAATTTTGAATACAAATATTTCACTTAAACAAGAAATTGCATATACTTCAGAAAATGCATTAATAAGGTAAACTCTTTGGAATGTGTACACAAATATGTTATGGTCAGGTTTATAGAAAGAGTATTTAGGTATTTAGGTCTTTAATGTCATTCTGCAAAATTTGCAACTGTGTTATTTTCCATCTATACACCAACAATTTGGGCCCAAATTTGTATACAGAATGCTGACAAACACTGGTTAAAATGGTAATTTTCATTGATCACACAACCCACCTCTTTTCAAGAGATAACTCACGAGGCATGTATTTCCTCCAAGGCATGCACACTATAACAGAAAGAAAGAACATCATATTCATAACAGTTTTTTCCAATATTTAAACAAATTCTTATTCTGTATTCACATTTTAAAACTCAAGTGCATATTTCAATGAATAAAATAATTATTTAAAAAAAAGAAGATTTTTTTAAATTATACATAAAAGTGTATTATTCAGGGGTGATAGTGAGCACTAAAAAAAAAATAGGTTTTTTTGTTTTCCCCTCAACCACGCCCCCCTTGAGTAAAAAAGAAAGAGGAGGATTCGCGGGGAAAAAATGGCATATATCAACATTCCCCCCTTTCGGGTAAGAAAATTGGGACAAAATTGGGGAAAAAATCGGGAAAAATAGAGAAAATAAGAGTGAAACCGGGAAAATCAGAATAAAACAGGGATAAAAAAAAAAATTGGTAAAAAAAAAAAAAAAAAAAACAAAATTTAAAATCGGGAAGAAAAAAAAAATCGGGAAAAAATCGGGAAAAATATAAAAAATCGGGAAACCGATTTAAATCGGGTTTTTATCAGGCCTGATTATTCCAAATTATTATCTACACTTGTACATCACGCTTCCAAGTGGCACAATAAATCAGTGTATTTAATATTTAACGCAGTACCCGGATGACAGATCAATATTGTTTTCGTATTGCTCTGTCATCTGGGAACTTCAACTGTCAATACAATATTGCTTGATTATCGGAAATCAGCAACACTTTCGCTGGTACCTGTTCACTGTACCCAATGTGCAAAACTGGTGTCCCTTCTGACAACGGAGCGTCAGCCAGGTTTAGATAATAATAATATTGTATGGCTTTGTTTTTTGGTGATACAATATTAAGAATATTTTGCTCTCGCTATGACAATATTGGACATTTTTAACTTGTGTACAATTTTATTTAGGTTGCAACATGATTTTAGCATACATGTACATATGGCTTCAACTACATGTATACATACTGTAGGAAAGAAGATTGAGCTTACCAGAAATAGTGTCATCTTGTCATCAGAGACTGAATAGTTTGGATCTACAATATCCATCACTTCTAAGGCATTCGCTTTCACATAAGAGGCCTGTTGTAGAGGAAAGGCAATTAAAGCAAATGTTGTACACAAACACGTAGCTACAACGCTTTCTCACAAACGCCTGCATTTACATTGTTGCAGTTCGTAATATTTACATTTTCCATGATGGCTAATATATTAATATCAAAATCAATACGATCTATTTAAAAATATACATTTCCTTCCTACAAAATTGATCCTCTGTCAGGGATACTATCATACTGATAAGTCAGGAGGAAGAGAATCTGCAGCATTCACGTCTCATTTCACGTTGCACTACTACATGCTGGAGTACTACATGATTAAGCAATATCCTTGAGATATTGTACATGTAAAAGTCAAGTTTTTTTTATTAGATGATGGCTCAAATCCTACCTGTTTGATTTTTTTCTTGTTTTATTTGCAGATAAAAATGTACAGATTGACTACCACAAGTCACAATAAAACAATTTATCCTACCTTGGCAAGATCAAACAAGCTGAATATCATTTGATCTGTAGGGAAAAGAAAAGAAAAGAGGAGTGTATAGATTAGTGTAATTACAATGCAATATGGATCAAGCCCAATAAACTTATAGGTTTTTCTCTTGGTGTGGTCTCAAAGTGAGGGTTCACAAGAACACTGCCCCATAAGACCAACACATCATTCTCTAATGCCTCCGTTCTGACAACGTTTCTGATGGATCATAAGACCATCATTGTCAGCAGCTGGTCTCAAATGGTGTCCTATTTATAAACTGGACCATGATTCAAACACTTATTACATTCAGAAATGACAAATCATCATAAAACTTGCTTTTGAAAATTGTCATACTTAAAATGCCACAATAAGTGCTGGAGATGTAACATGTGCTTGTCTCTAATGTGACTTTAATGGTGTTAAGCAGGTGTAAGGTAATGAGGTGTCTTAGATTTGTAATGAAGAAATCAGGTGAATACTTTTCAATCTCATGAAGATGTAAACAAACCCTGTATCTTCAGTGTATTGAGCTGAATTAAAGATACAGATCTTCATATTCATTGATTCACTTATTATGGGTGATTGAGTGTAAAGCAAAGCAAAGAATATGTTTACAGATTTACTAATTAATGCAATTCATTGACAAAGATATCTTGATCCATGTTGGTTTTCAATCTTCTGAAGATATGAAAGTACTTTTGTTACATGTATTTGTATTAACACACTAGCCATGGAACGTTTGTGTTCCATGGCTGGGGGTGCTGTTTCTATAGGGTTCTATAGGGTTCTATAGGGTTAAACACAAGATGTAAAAAGGATTAATTAACAATATAGGTTACAGTACATGTAATAAGCAAGTTCACGGTTGCAGTCTGAGCATGAGCAGATAAAGGTCATTGTAGAACAAGTTGTGAAATACACGGAGACGAAATACTGGATACGTGCTCATGAAAGTTATGTAATCATTATTCATTTATGCACAAGCAGTGCACTCCATGATACACAGGTGGAAGTATTCTTTGAAAAGGGGGAAACAAAGACTATTTATGTAGCACCTCCATCGCTGTAGGAATGATTATTTCAAAATGTTCAAAGTGGGACCTCTTCATGTTTTGAAGATCTGTGGATATTTGGGGTCATTGCAGTAATGTGCTAACCGTGAACTGGTCAATTAGAGGCACTCTCTTTCTCACAGTACTAAAACAGTGCTGTGGTATGTCTGATAAGGAAACAGCTATCCAGTTACTTCTTCAACACAAACTTCGGTAACAAATGACACACTGTCTATTTCTAACACTAATCATAAACCTAGCATAGAATCTATTTACAAATAACCACATATCTATGAAGAAATAAGCACATAGTACAGGTCACAGGGTCATGTAAGCGTCAGATCACCCCTGGTATATTATAATTGTGAGGTGGAAAGTGATCAGGGGTGCTTATTGCCACATGTATACCTGAAGGTACCTTTCTTCGATTTGGGTATGTCATCATCTAATGAAGATAACTTCACATAGTGAACAATACAGTTATCAATGGAACTTTATCTTTGATTTTCTATTGGGGGGGGGGGGGGGCTAAGTGACACCAAGTCCCATGTTAGCTTTTTATGTATAGTGTCCATGAAAATTATACAATCTCTATTATCTTATTTCAATAAAATCATAAAGTGATGACATAAAGCTGCTGTGAGTAAGTCATCTCTGAAGATCACTTTGTACCTAAAAGTGAACAAATTGTAGCATTCACTGATAAACGGAACTTATATGATCATATCTTTGATTTCTGTCATTTTTGGCCTGTATAAAGTTAACATTCTACACACATTTGTGTCACATATATGAATCATTCTGATGAAAAAATATCAATTTTCATACTATCATTATCACTGTGAGACATCACACTTAGCTTACCTTCTACTTTTGTGTTCCCTTCCTTCTTCTCCTTGCGCCTGTTCTTATTTCTTGGAGAAGACATGATCCAAAGAAATGTAAGTGTGAGTAAAAACACTGTCCATGCTGTTCTGCTATTCCATGGCAGCTGTTCTCCCTTCTTGATGGTCTCTTGAATCCAATGTGAGGCCTCCTCCTGTAGTTTTGGAAGTTCTTGCTGTATGCCTAGAAGAACACCTGCACAAATACATTGCAAATCAGTGAAAGGCTTCTACCACACATCTATGTTGTCCCATACAGTGTTCATCTACATGTAAATAGGACAATTGACTTCAGGAAGTTCAGGGCACTAATAAGTTGAGATAATCTTATTGCAAGCACTGTCCATCAAAGCTGTTAATATTTAAGAAAGCAGATATTTCTGCCATCTATGTACATCTATAAAACTGACATCAAATACAATCATAATCGTAGATGCTTGGGAATTTGATCAGGAATATGTACAGAATCGGTACCAACAACACCAAGTTGATGGTAATATTACATGTAGCCCAACAAGAATTTGTACTACTTTACTATCTACTGTAGATGTCACTTTGCCTCCACTAGAATCACACAAATGCACTTTGCTTCTAGATAGAGTATACAACCTAATTTGCATGCAATGAAAGCTTTCATACAAATGAGTAAGGTTAGCCCATTGCCTAATGAACATGTGGTTACTTTATCAAGCCCATGGAATGAAGGAATTTGATGGTCTTATGGGTCAAATATACAGGAGATAAATTACATGGCTTATCAATAATAATAATAATAATAAAGTCATGTTTATATAGCGCATAATAATAAATTCTTTATGCGCTTTACAACAATCAATTATACGATAAATTACATGATTAATCTAAAGATTTAATTATGCATGAATTAACAGAAATACATATCGTATACAATGATGACAAAATCAGATATAATATAAATGATATAAACTCAACCTCAGTCCTATGACGTTATTGATTTGTATTTATATGTAAATTACTTTTCATCTAGTACATAGTTTTGAAGAAAGGAATACATTTAAATGGGTCTGTTCTCCTCAGCTTATACTTTTGAACTTATATACAAAAACGTACCATCAGCTGCAGCAAGTGTAAGTTGAATGCCATGCTTGCCAAGAGCTATCCATTCTTCTTTTAGATTCTCCCAGTCAAATGAGGATATATACTGGTTCACTTCCAGTATGGCTGCATCATAAGTTGGTTGAATATAATGGGTTGTATTGTGGATGAATTCTGACAGCCGTTCCAAAACCTTTTCTAAATTTTCTTCCATAGCTGCTCTACATGAACTGTAACTGAGCTTGAAGATCCTGTATACAGAGTTGGATCATACAGAGAACAAATCAGAAATATAAAATCAATTTTTATTCCTTATACGTGTAGCAATATAGTCTAAATTGGTAGAGGATCTAACGTTACATTTGTTTTGATTATTAACTCAAATGATCATTAAGAGTAGTTCTAACCTAAACTCAGTGTGAATTTAATAACTACACTTGACCTCCTTTGGCTTTATTGAAGTTGCACACTGTCTCTGAAAGAAAAATCTAACAGAATCTGATAGTTCTAAGACTACAAGTACAAATAGTCAACTAGAACTGCAATCGTTATAGAACCATATGCATGCATTGACGCTCTATCATCTATGTTTGTCGCAGATGAAAAAATGTCTCTAGTCTTGGACTATCTAGAGCAATTGATGTGTTAGAATTCTGCAGCACAAGCAGTAATAGCAAAGTCGAAAGGCAAGAAAGAAAGGCAAGAAAATGATGATGATGATCCGCAGCGCTTGTGTATGGCGCCATTTAGCCGTTTCAAACATTCAAACTCAAACTCAAACTGTCAAAGACAAAGGTGCCCGCTCCTCCAATACTACTAGACCCTAGTCATGGACTTCACATTTGCTTGAAAAGATGGGTTTTGAGGCCTGACTTATGCCATGGGCATGGTAATATAATTAATAGCACCTGAAAGGTCACGCATACAGAAAGTGATCAGGTGATTTTAGAGAAAAAGAAGTCGGGGATTCCGGCGAAAATCAGCAATACCATCGCCAAATGAAATGGGCCTTTTAAAATAAAGTCTAGATCTAGGCCCTACTTAATAATTTGTTTAGAATTAGCAACAGCCGACGCCAAAATTAGACATCCCTTTCCTTTAAATTAAAGTTTCATTTTTTTTAAATTTAATTTAGCCTAACTTTAAGTTTAAATTGAATGAAGACATTATCAGTAGTCTATCAGTATCACTATCAGTATCAGTATCACTATCAGTATCACCATCACTCCCTCAGCTCAGCTCAGACCTCAGTATCAATAATAGATCAACAAGTTAACAGTTAAAAGTTAGATCTAAGTTAGACTTTAGGCCTAACAAAAGTTAGATTCTATTATCAATTTATCAATTATCAGCAGATCAGGTCCTAAATTCAATCGGTAGACAGTGCTAAAAAAAAAAATAGTTTTACAAAGTAATAATGATGACAGGAAACCTAACTTACCTTTTCTACCGTACAATAGAAATAGTTGATGCTTGAGAAGTCCAAGTCAAGGTGGATGATGGATATAATCGCGGGAGATTATGGTCTGCCTGGCCTGGGAGCCCCGACCGGACCCGTCGGGATTTTGCCTCTGATCTGTCTAGATCTATGCGCTGCAGCTGCAGCCTTCTCCCGGCCTCTGCCTGGTCTGGAGAAGTTCAAGAAAATGCAACTCGATCGTCACTATTAAACTGACTCATTTGACAACTATCCAATGTTTTCTGCCCAGGAGTCTGAAGTTTGCGTTAAGATTAGAATAGGAAAAGTATTACTTTACTTAATCGAAATGCCACAATTTGATTTTTCAGCACATAGGCCTAGGCCTACTATCGATATTGGTTATCGGTAATGAAGTACGATTATGTTGCATTGATAATATATAGTCAGCACATTGTCTTACAAATATGTATGATTGATTGATTGATTGATTTTTATTCGACAAGCTTCCAACATACAACAATATACAATAATAACAGATCAAAATTAAGTCAGCTTGAACAGGATAACCCACGAAAGCTCGAGAGCTTATTTCCAGTGGGGTCCCCTACAGTCATGATGTACACAATTAATAAGTTATGTTAACTTATTACAGGTCTGTATGGTCCTGTAATAATTAATATTTAGAGACAGATAAGAAAATAAAAATAATTGCTTATAAAAGATAATAATAATAACAACATTAAACTAACGATAGAAATGATAATAAGTACAAGAAGAAAAAGAAGGGGGAGAAGAAGAAAAGGAACACATTGTATGTTTGCTTTGTTTATGGGCTTAACTGTTCGATCTGTTAAGTGACCTGCAGCAGATCGCCTCTCGATTACTTTATTTATTCATCAATTTATTATTCTTTCTTTCTGTAAGTTTTTTTTAAAACCCCGTATCCTTCAATCACCATCAATATTTCACCACCAATCCCTTGGCCAGGAATAGATAACCTCCCCCCCCCCCCCCCCCTCTCTCTCTCTCTCTCTCATTCAGTGTACAAATTTAAATGAATTAAACTTCAGGTCCAACTATTCCAGGTATAATTAGTGTCCCCGCGTGCATCAACGTTTAAAAATGCTCAAATCACTAAGATGATTATGTACCCTATTATCAAATAAAGAGACAGAAAAAGGTAGACAAAATAATACAAATAATACATATAATAATACAGCTTTAGGGCATGACTAAATATTAGAGCTATGGTAAAACTATGTTAAGGTGGCTCATATCACAATTATGTGCCCCTTTCTTTAAAAAAAGAAACATACAAAATAATACAAATACTAGTAATACAAATATTGTAGGTACATTTGTAACTAATATATATATATATATATATATATATATGTTTTGCTGGAGGATAGGGCCTATGTGCTGCTGAGACCAAATATCTGGCTTCACCCAATATGATGGAGGAGAGTCTAAAAAGTAAGAAAATGTTAAAAGCTGCTCCAACCAGATGGGTTTTTCTGTCTAGTTTGTAACATGCTTGTTTTCCAAACATGCTTATATATTAATTGGTTGTAACTTGGATTCTTTATCCTCACTTTTCCCCATGTACATGATATGATAAAAAAAAGACAAAGGTCCTGGGAAAGTATGTGAGTATGAGTGTGTGTGTGTGTGTGTGTTTATGGGTGCATGAGCGGGTGCCCGTTTTGTAGTTTAAGATGATATTATATATTATATATTATATTGTTGCTTTTACTCTGTTAATTTTTCAGAAATAATAAAAACAGAAGAAAAAAAAAGAAAGAAAAAAGACAAAGGTTATCAATATCATATTTTAAAATCCTTTTATTGCATCAAATACAAATGTAAAGGCATTGCATCTTTACAATTCTTCATGGTTGTTTACTGCATCATTTCTCAATACAGACTCATTCTGAACCTTACAGCCTCACAAACAAATAAGTCTGCATTTTAGAAGCAAATGGAACTATAGAATCCCATACTAATACAGAAGCTAACTAATATTTTAAATGCACATTATTCATTCCTTGCTGTCACAAGTCACGACAGTAATATATTGTATTTCTGGCAAGAATTAATTCCTTGAAATGCAAGAGAGCCGCAATGGCAGCCATGCTAAAGCCAGATAATAATCGGGTGTGCCAAGTCTGACAGACATGAACGCTATACAAGAATCAACTATTATTATTATTATGTAATACACTAATTTTTAATGAAATCAGGGGTAAGAAAATAAATATCACTTCATTTCTTATTTCAACAGATTTTTAGATTCAACATACCTCAAAATTTTCTTACATACATGTAACAATACAATATCATATCATTATTTCAAGCACTTTTATCAGTCCATATAATTAGATTTAGCAAAATATTTAAACCACTTCTAATCTGTAGCCAAATCAATTATTTGCCTCCAGTTTATGAACTAAATGATATCTATGTGGCTTCAAAACTAAACTACATTCTATATAAAAATGAATAATATCTATTTTCATGTTGTATGGACAAATACCAGTTTACTGATTCAAGACAACTGAATGTCATGTTTACATCCTTTTAAACTCAATGACATATTTGATGAAATATTTGTAAACAGGTGGAGAGCAAATTATTATGAATTATATATAAATATCAAATAATTTATCTTAGCTGAGGGCACTTGAATACAAATGTGGACAAGGTGATACTGTATCCATACTTACAATTACTGCCAGAGTGATAAAGTACTCTAAAAAAAGAAAGAGATTCATGTTTCTATGTGGGCCTGATGACAAATAATGACACTTTTCACTAAATGAGCGTTATGGTCATGAATTGCACTTTAAAGAAGATCATTGTATAAGACCTTCAAACAGCACACCACAGACTACATTGTATGATGTATATTGGTATGTTGTTGAATGCACCATCAGAAATACCACCAAAAAAAAAAAGTCTTTGTTTTCAAAAGTTTTCTTCATATCTTGCTATTTAAATCACTAGAATTCAAAGGACAGAATACAAATGGACGTGACTAAAGACTGTTTGGATGAAAGGGGAGAAGAATGAACATGTTGCCAGGAAAATCTAAAGGACCATGTTAGCAAATCTATGACAGGGAGAGTACAAATCTTGGAAATTTTGAATAGAACCTTAGTCAATGAATGATCTGCTATTATCATGGAGAGCCAGGTCTGGATATGTAGGTCTACCTAAATATAGAAGCTGAACTTTGACAGTTACAGATAGATCACCATGGAAGGCACCATTCAATGAGGTGCGGAAAATGAAATGTACCGTAAGTCTTTAAGCAAAAAAGGAGGAAAAGTACAAAATATCCTGAAATGGCTTTTTTACTGGCTTCATTAATTTCTAAAATTAAGTGAAAGCACACAAATGGTTTAACTATTTCCTAAATAAGACTAGAATACAATTTCTAATAATTTAAACTCATGATTGAAATAGGATGAATAAATTAATGCACATATTAATGTACATTAATGATACATTCTGAATATTCAGTCCCTGACAAATTTATTCAACATGTTGTAGCCATGTCACCCAAAACAGCACCTGTTGCAAACCAAATTCCATGTGATGAACAGTTGGAGATAAGGACACATTACTATCAGCATCATTTCTTGAATTGGTGGTTTTGTCACTAAGGCTGTTGCTTGTGTTTCTTCAGGCAAGGCATGGAGCAGAACTTGAAATCCATGTAAGAAAAGGGAGCCTTCCCAGCAAGTGAAGAGCCACAAATCCAGCACCTCCTGTATCACAAATTTAATCACAAATGGATTATCTTTCCAATTATCACTCTTTATTAGGTAGCTTAGCGAAATAGAACGAAAAGACCTTTCTAAGTACTGGTACATACAATTCATTATTTTAAAAATCATAGTTTTTTCAAATTTGCGTAGAACCAGATCATTAGGATATGGAGCTGGTATTAAAATATATATCCTATCTCGATTAGGCTTAATGTTAATTAAACTTTTCTTCAGATGTGTCAAAAAGAACATTTTAATTAACAAACATCACCGCTTATAGGGTTCCTTCGCATCTTTTTATGCCACTACATTTTGCTATGCTACCCTATGGAATATCTATCCACTATTATAGTGAAATGCAGTATTCTTTGACTACAGTCCACTACAGGGAAACATTATTATCATAAACACTTGTAAAATCCTTTAATGGTAATAAGCCAATCTTTCCAGGCCCCGTTCTTCACATTCTACCACTTATGAGCTCTGATGTAGCAAAATTTTAGTTTAATTATGTACACTCCTTGATTTCTAAAGTTAATTCTTAAAATGAATTTTGACTGTACAGAGTGCACATTCAGTTTTATGACACAGGATGTCGATAAGGGTCCCGTTGCACAAAACTTACTATTGATGGTAACTTTGCCATCAATGGAAACCATGGAAACCTTGATTGTGATTCGCTGTTGCGCCCTGTTACCATAGTACATGTAGTTTCCATCAATGGTAAGTTTTATGCAATGGGGTCCAGTGGTTAAAGATTTCTACATGTAGATCTAAGATTCAGCTGCTTCTATACTCACTGCATGTCAGATGTTGGAGTTACTTGTTGAGCAAATCTCTTCTCAGCGGCCAGAGCTCTCTTCTCTCTTTCACTCAGGTTTGCATACCATTCCTTCTTCTCGTTCTCTTTCCTCTCGACTTCTTTGACTTCCTTCTGCTCCTGTCAGTCAGTAAGAAAACACATTCACACTTTGATTGCTTTATTTGCGTCTCTGCAAGGTTGCTTGTTTGCCACACATGCATTTTTGTACAAAAAAATTACTCAACAATTGAGGGATGGGCTTTGTGTAACACAATGGCTTTGCAAAATTACTCATTTCTATTCTAATAAAAAATTCTTATAAAAAAATAAATTTCACACATTTTGGGGTTTAAAATTACCTTCATCGCAATTTTAGGTCCTAAAGGAATGTCATAGATAAGAATAAGAGCAATAACCACGAACTTTGTAGGCATTTGCGGTCTGAAAACAGAATTCAACTATCACTGTAAAAACAGAATAAATTCAATATTGATTGAAGAAACACCTCTGTTCTGCACTGTGTAAAATAGTGCAGCAGTTGAGAAAAGGAAGAGTGAAAAAACTCTGAGAAATCTCTAAGGCTACGGATAAAAGTGTTACCTTTTCCTTCAAACGCTTTGCTTTCCTTGCATTCCTCTTCCTTTCTGCTTGTTTAGCTGCCTTTTCTTTCTCTTGCTCTTCTGTGAGCGGAACTGGAATCTGAAAAAATAGCAATGACGAGATAGAGTCAAAGGCATGCTACAAAAATCAAGTAGCATGAAATAGATCTCAAACTAAAGGTACATGTAAAGGGTGGTCTTGCAATGAAATGTTATTTAATGACACAGTGATTGGTAATTCCACCAAATCCAGAGTATGCAAACTACTAATATGACAAGGAAACTGCCAAAAATAAGTCTCTAACATTACACTGTAATTAGAAGATTTAGGATTTTCTGGAAAGCATGCCTCTTTCTACATCTCATGTACGACTAAAGGCTGCTGAGTTCAACCCATTTACCCTAAATTACATGAGTTCATCTATTTCCAATGATGTACCCCAAAAAACTCTTCTTTTCATAGTTTACCTGAGCTCTTTCATAATCATATCTTTCAGGGTGATCAGAACGGAAACTCCTAAACTCTTCTCTCGTCTTCCTATCAAAGGAACATCCGAACGCTGGCTTGCCTTTCTTGCTCCTAAAGATCAAATTATTTTCAAAAATGATATTAACAGTATGAGAAATATGTAGTACATACACAGTAATGTCAAATTGGTAGAAAGAGTTTAGTCACAAAAAGTACTTAGAACATATTACTCGATCATACTTTATTATGAATGTTCCTTTATTTGTTATCTTTAAAGGGAAAGTCCACCCCCAAAATAAGTTTGTTTTGATAGAGGCAGAATAATAAGAAAATCAGGTGAGTGAAAGTTTGAGCAAATTCTGAATGAAAATAAGAAAGTTATGAATTATTGAAGTTGTGATCAATCAAATACAAATTGGCAACTCTGTGACTTATTATACGAGCTCTCCTTCATTTGCTTTGTGCATAATATTCCATAAAATCATGTTTTCTTCGTTATTGATGACGGAATATATATTTGTTCCTTGCAGGGGGAGTATAGAAACATATTTGCAATTATTATATTTAGGGTGCATGTATGGTTGAAATTTTTCTTGAGGGAAAATGAAAATTTTAGATTTTTTTAGTACTGAGCAAATGGAAGTTGAGCTCGCATGATACGTCATAGAGTTGCCAATTTGTGTTTGATTGATCACAACTTCAAAAATCCTAACTTCCTTATTTTTAATCGGAATTTGCTCAAACTTTCACTGACTTGTTTCTCTCATTTTTCTACTCCTATTAAAACTAACTTAATTTCAGGGTGGACTTCCCCTTAAAAGTCTTGTGTTCTTAGCTATCCACTCCAACAAACCGTGCATTGATTGTGGATTGCAAATGCAATGCTAAATGTTTGAAGGAGACATACGTAGAACTATATTAGGCAGAACAATTTGAAAATTTGAAGAAAAAAAATGAAAAGAAAATATAACGTCTGACATTCACATAACAAGATCTTGGGGTTAAGAATCCCAATAATGTGCATTATGCTCTTAGGCAAAGACACTTGGACACAAAAAACAAAAACAAAAAAAAATTAAAAATGGTGTCCGATACAGGATTTTTCAATGATTAATGAATAATACTGCCTACTAAGCATGGTAAAAACATCACCAGAAGCAAAAACACTCTATCAAAGAATTGTAAAATAATTGGACTTTAATTCCAATTCAAAATCACAATATTCACACTCCAGGGTTTGTAGGAATTTGTTTGTCAGTGTCAACTGAGGAAAGAGTACCCTAGATAGATGATATCACAGCAGCTCTGTTGGGACCGATGAGGCAAATGTGAGCATCATAATTGATCGATTGATTGATTGATAGAAAAGGTTTCATTATAATTGCACTTCGCAGCCATTGAATTATGGTTGAATTATGAACAATTTACATTGCCAATTTACATAATGTCCTATTATTCACACTACAAAGGTCAAAGGTTAAAGTAAGGAGACCGTCTTGCTTACTTGACACCTGGGTCAGCTCCACATTCCATCAGTCGATAGAGAACACTTCCCTGACCATCTTCTGCAGCTACATGGAGGAAGGAGTACCCCATGTCATCTAAGGGTTTGTTCAGGAACTTGAGGACTCCAGGACTCGGTTTATCGTGATCCTTAGAGTCTCTCACTGCTTTGTCCTCACTTACTTCAGAATCGTCTTCAGGCACTTGTTTGTGTTGGAAAGGCACATTGGCTTCATCAAATTTGGATGCAGTCAGGAGATCAGGTTTGGACGATCTCCCTTCAACCGTTTCTGCTCTGCTAGGATTATTCTGAGTGTCTTCATTGAAAACAGTAGTGCTGTTTAAAGGTTCTGGAAGGTTGAATCTACTTTCTACTGAGTTTTTGTTCCCTAAGCCAACTTTATGGCTATCATCTGAGCTTTGGCAAGACCCGGCATGGCTATCCATGCCTGCAGTCACACCTCTAACATCACCTTTAGAGGGCGGTATATTATCTTTATTATCAACACTGGGAATGGGATTGGCATCGTCCGATGATGTGTTTTTGGTTTTGCTTGGTTCTCTGTCGAAGTGTTCCTTGGTACTGTCTTTAGAAGTCAGAGGATTGTGAGGAGGATTGTGAGGAGGATTGTGAGGAGGAATACTGAAATGCTGTTGGATCTTTTGGAGGACTTCTTCAAGCTTGTCCATGTTGCCTGTCCGGCATATAGTGAAGAGTTCGGTGGTCAGATTCTCTTCCTCCTTGTCTGAAAAGAAGAGTTAAAACCCTACCTTAGTATACATGTATGCATACCAACATACTGAAATGCTCAGAGCAGTAGAGCTACACAGTGAATGTTATTTCACACTTTTACAGCAAATAAAATCACACAATGATTTTAAAAAATACTGTCAATCAATACACTGGTTGGCATAATATTGTACAAAGTTTCACTTATTTTTTTTTTTTCTTTTTTGTCATAAAGTTGTCTTCAGTGACGTTATGAAAAACATTAACTTTTAAGTACAATTCAAGAAAATTTAATGATTCTGACATACCGGGGTACATATATCAGAAAAGAGATATTATAAGGCACATTCTTAAATATCATGGTTCATTTGTCATTGCTTGTCTTGATACAACCAGTATTCCAGTAGTACCAAACTGTAGACATTTATAAAAACAATTTTTAATTTAAAGAAGAAAAATACGATCTTTTTGTTAGTCCAAAACAATTTGATGCAATGTGGCAGTTAACAAAGGCTATGACATTGTAAGAGTTAAGATATTAAAGGGAGTGTGTCATGACGAGACTATGTGTCTTTCCGGTGGCCCTACCGGGGGCCAATCGGGTATAATACGACTACGGACGACGCGACCGCAGCATTTACGTGCCTGCAACATATGCAAAACCGAAGCCGGAGAGGAACTTCGGTCTATTTCGCGAATGCTAACGCGCGCTGACCCAGTTAATCAAGTCCATTCGTTTACGTGCCGTTGTCCAAAAGAAGACGTAGATGGCGTCAACCAGTATTTGCAATGATACACTCCCTTTAACATACTAGGAAGTATATATAAACAATTTCACTATGTTCCTTTAAAGAGATACGGTATTCATTTTTCTTGCACTACTGGTTTACCTGTTTGTGGTATACGTTTCTCTGATATCTTCTTCTTTCTCCTCCTCTGCTTCTTAGGAGTTGTCTCATACTCTTTGAGATGGTTAGTTGAAGTGATGACCTCCTCTTCATGAAGTTCTATATCATCTACCTCCTCATCATCCTTCTCATTCTTCTTCTCTTCCATTTTGACACTGGTTGAATTGTCTGCTGGTTCTTCTTTGGATTCATTCATATGTAAAACAATGCAGAAATAATAATATAATAAATGATCAGAATATCTGGGGTAAAATGGCTTGTTCCGTTGTTTCTCTTCTAAATAATTCAATTACAGTTTTATCTTCTAGTGGGAATTCTCTTTCACTTCAATATTAAAATGAACAGTAAAATGACAACATATGCCTGTTAGAGTTAAGTGGGAGCTACATTATATTTAATTATATGGACAGGGTTTTGGAAAGGTTTTGGTTTCAATAGTCAAAGTATGCATCTAGGGTGGAAGGGACAAATTTAACTAGTGTTACAAACTGATTTCCAAACTGTTGTCAATACAGCACAATTTACAAACTGCCTTTCACATGCACTGTAAAACCAGAAACCAAAACAGCCACTTTTTGTGACAATAAATAAATTTTCTGAGTTGTGTCAATTGCCATTTAAGTGATATTGCAGCATAAAGTTTTTGCAAAGTCAGGAGCAGATGACATCCATGAAACTTTCATGCTGCAAAATCAATTACAGACATTTGTTTTGTTTTACAGTAGAAGATTTAATGTGTATCCTAACCTTCAAGAGACTGTTTCTCCAACCGACTCAAAATGACTTCCAACGATGCATCTTCTTCATCAAGCACTTGTTTTTCATTTTCTTGGAGGGATTTCTTGCCCTTCTTCCAAACCTTCTTCTCTTTGCGGCTGGCCATAGCAGTAGTAATATCAGATATGGTACCTGTTTATGAAATCAATCAGAGGACAAAACATATATTACATTATTAGTTTGTATATTGTAAGACATTGTTGAGTACTGATTCTTGTTTTGTCTAAGTATCGATTGTAACAGTAAATTCATTATTTTTTGTTTTGTTACGTTCTCTAAACTGATTTGTAACAAAATACTTTGTTTAGCTGTTTAAGGGGTTAGGCTCGACTAGCACATGTGCTATTATCTGGCCCCTTTTACCAACCAATAGTTTCTCTTTCTGTATATGTATTTATTGTATAAAATGTATGGAATGTATTGCTGTTGGTAAATAAATCAAATCAAATATATAACAAAACCATTTTTTAGCTTTTTTCCTCCCTCCCTTCCTCCCTCACTTAGTGCAGTCAAAGCATTACCAAAGCTTATTGCATTGCAGAATGAACAATATACATGATCATACAGATTCATTAGGGATTTCTTTAAATTTCTGGTACAAGATGTGTGTGGTGAAAACAATTTCAAATACAGCTATAACATGTACACTGTTGACACCTCTTACTTATCTGTAAAGCGCTTTGAGAGGGCCTCCGGTCCTGAAAAGCGCTATATAAGAACAAGCTATTATTATTATTATTCCATTTCTTGGAATTTTTATCAGAGCATAAATTAGCATAATTTTTTTTCTCAAAAAGAGTTCTTTTACAGACCTGCCAATCTCTGGAGTTCAGAAACTTTATTCTTCAGTCCCCAAAGTTGTGTTTTACTGACAAAAGTTGTATTAAAAAAAAAAAGAAAGACAGACCAATGCCTTTTACAATTCCTACATAGAGGAAGAAATTTTTGTATGGATCATTGGTTGAATAATATGCATGATTTTGTCTTGACTGGTGTGTTCGATGGACCAAAGAACATCCCCAAATTACCAGTGTGAGATGCTCGTACGATACTTTACAGGACAAAATGGGCATTTTCTCATTGAAAATAGCACACACACAAATCATATTTTTATTGAGGAAAATCATACTGTCGTATTTACTTCTAAAAAATCGTACTAGTTGGCAGGTCTGCTTTTAAGCACATCAATTTTCATATGCCAATTCACAACCCAGATTGTACTCTCCACAGCTTAAAGTCCAAACCTACCATGAGACTCAATGGTAGCAAGGACCTCCCAAACTCTCTTCAGCTCCTTGAACGTGGCCCTACGTGTGGCAAAGGGGATAGTCACCACCCTATCATCCCCCTTCACCAGGGCGGGGCTCTTTCCTCCATAGAACATGGCCTTGTTGTAGGTGGGTACTCTGAGGAAGATTCTGGAACAGGAGTCCAAGTGGTCCTTCCAGGAGGTGAGGAGGTTCTGAACCTCTTGGTTCAGGGCTGCTTCATTGTACCTTCGGATGGAGGCACCCCCAGATCTGCAAGGAGAAGAGTTCATTAGGTATCAACTGCAACAGGTACATGTACTTAGTATATTCTATGCATTTGTATATCACTATATCAAAAAATCATAATGAAAACACGTTTGGTACCATTGTGACTTCAAATATCAAAGCTATTGTTGTAAACATACCAATTTAAACAAAAAGTATACATTTTAGATTAATGCATTGATATTATGAAATGAGGATGACCTGTTCCCCAACTATTTTTCCCTTCCTCATGTCATCCTTTCAAAATTCCTTCTTTCTTTTGGCTAAGCTTTCTCCCCCCCCCCCCTCCTTTTTCTCTGGCTCCTACGTTCCTTATTTTCTCTAAAAATGATTGTTACTTTCTCTTCTTCATCTTAATATTTTCATCCCTGTCTCTCTCCCTCTCCTTCTACCTCTCTCTCTCTCTCTCTCTTCCCCCTCTCTCTCTCTCTCTCTCTCTGTTCTCCTCCTCTCCTCTCTATCTCTTCTCCCACACCCCTCTATCTCCCTTTCTCTATTTCTCCCCTCTCTCATTTTATACTGAAATGTATACAGACTGCAAAGACACCACTGTATTTTGATGCACAGTCACATTCTAGATCTAGCCTTGTACTCACTTGGGGGCGTTTCCCTGTGAGTCTCTAACAGACTGTACAGTTCCTCTCTTAGCCCGTACGGTGTACCGGTGAAAGGTCTTGTGTTCGATGACCTCAGGCCTACAAAAAAGGTCAAATATTATTAAAATTTAGTCAAATGGTGATATTCCAACAGAAACAAGTGACAAGAATCTAGATTCATTAAGCATCTTATCAAGTACCAAAATTGTAAAACAAATCTATTTTCAGCCTATCGCATGCAAGGTTTCAATAGTGAATATTTAATTTTACTTACTGTAATTTGTTATTGGTATTTGGTAACACCTTTCAAAGACGGCCCATATGTGAGGAATAAATGCACTATGACGTCATGTACCCTATCTTCAATTCCTTTCAATACACATTCTTTTTTGTGTGTTTGTTATCTCTGTATTCAATGTAAATCTGCATTTCAAATTTTCCTATTTCTTAATTGTGCATCTTAATCTTCTTTATAATTGGCCCTTATTATTCTATTTTAGTTCTCCTCTTCTTTCTTCCTCTCTCTGTTTTCCCAACTTTTTTTGTTATTGATATGCTTTCTCTAATTTCCGGAAGTAATATATCTCTGCAGCTTATCTACACTTACCCATCATACACTGCAGCAGCAAAATGGCCACCCCCTGTCAACATGATAGCCCACTTCTGATTGGTCAATAGACCAAGGGTTCTGGATATCAGCTCTGTATGTGTAGTGGGTGCCTCCTATTGAAATGAGAAGATAAAGAGAATGTATTATGTATATTTTGTCAGCTTTCCTCCCAAAGGTGTCTAGTGAATTTCATTTAGAAACAAATTTAATTATGAACCCGTTGCCTACAGGAACTGGGTGGTCTCTTTATCAATCCTATCAGAATGAAAGAATTCAGTAGTCAATGGTGTAAACAGTTTCAGGAAAAGATTTATTGGAAAGTGCAAGGAATTTTGTTCTATGTTTCACAACTTCATCAAATGTTCTAGCATAAATAATTTTGTAATATTCCAAACAAATCAAATCTGTTGGGGTATTTCATATACCGGTAGAAAATCTTCCTTGCAGTTACAGAGTGTATTCCAACTTGATACATATGATCTATGTTTGGGCCTATTCCATTTATAGCCTTATTACACATAAAGCTGGAATATTACAGAAAAGAAAACAATAGGAAAAACAAAAGATATTTAGTGTGTTCATTATTCAATGGTAATTAGAATAGGTAAATATGGGACATGAAATGACCAAATACGTGTTAGAATTTGCCATAATATACTTTACAAGCTTTTCTAGTTTTTCTGCTAAAATGAAACAAGTATATCTATTCTCACCCTCTTTCCGTGGATGATGCAGCGATACACAGAAACAACCTCTTCATCATCGTTATCAAAATAGATCCTTGGACATCGTCTACCATTTTCTCTCTCCTTCCCTGCATCATTATCGTCATCGTCGTCGCTGTCGTACTTGTGGATAGAACTGGCCTTCTTTCTCCTTCCCCGGGCTTGATCAGAGCCCCGGGAGACAGGTGACATGTCCACCTCATCCTCATCATCAGAGGAGGAAGAGTCTCCGCTACCAGAAATACTGGACACATCGTCTGTTGAGAGGAGAACATTAACTCTCATAATATCCCTGCAGACCTGCACCCCATTGTATTGATGATTGGATGGATACACCAAAGGCTTCAAGATTAGTTAACTGTGTCCAGTACAAGATTAACTTACCGGTACTGGTGTTAAAAGAGTTTTTGTGAAGCTAATCAGAACTTGAAATTGGTAAGGTTACAAAACCACTGTGTTGCACAAAGCAATCTCAGTCAGTGCTTATTGTTTTGTGCAAAATTGAACATGGGGCAAACAAGTGATTGTGCACAGATGGAAAGAAAGCAAATAAAGTGTGAAAATATGGCAGGTGACTTCTCAACACCTATAGTGCCACATGAGATATATTTCCGGATGGTCTTGCCAAGATATCATATTTTCTTGAGTAAATTTGTTATCATACATTTGTGTCAAAAGAGACTCATCTTTTAAAGGTAAAGGCCAGTTATGGTTATGCGATTGCATTCTGAAAGAAACGTTGTGGAATCGATCAGAAAAGGTTGATCATCTAGCCTATATGTATTGGTGTGTACTGCAAGGTTCTGGAATCATCAAAATCGAAATTTGGCCCAGTCTTGGTAAAGTTACAAGCACTGTACACAGAAAGATGTATATGAGACTACGCGACATGTGCGTGACACATGCGCGATATCCATCAGGTCCAAACAGATATAATAATTTACCACATACACACTGTTTATCAAGAAGTAAGCGGTTTCCCGGTGAAATTTGTACCATCACATATTAGTCAAAACATATTCCTTCACATGATTGGTAATAAGAGCTTCCATTTCATCTTTTTGAGAGGGGGGCGTTCCCAAAACTGATCTTTACCTTTAAAGTGCAATACAAGGTCTTTATGTTTGGCACACTAATCGATCTGCAATGTAACAAAGATCTTAAACTTGTAATAAGTACAATATATTCAGCATTCAGTACAATATACCTTGAAAAATAAATTAAGTTTACAGACAATCATTCAATAAGTTTTACTCATTCTTTTGCTTTAAATAACTTAGTAGATATAGCAGATTTCCCAAACATTTGAAACTGTTAATGGAACTGCCTGAATGGTTGAAAAGTAATCTTCAATTCAAACATAGATTAACTGCTGACAATATCTAAATTTGTCATTTAGAGTTTTTCATATCTTTTCCAGTCTGAAGTAAATACCTACCTGCTTGTTGTGAAAATGCCTCTTCTGAGACTGATTTAAGTCCCATTATCCTCTGCTTCAAGTTGAACCGATGCCAGTCCAGACGATAGTGAGCTTTCTGTAACATAGGAAAACAACAAATTTTTCAACAGTGGAAGTGATAACAAAGAATGGATCGACACTGATTATTATCAACAAAATATCCCATTATTATGTTCAATATCTCATATCAAACAGACTTTGAATACCAAAATTATCGTAATTCTGAAATCTTAGATTTTAAAAAATCAAATCAAAGTAACGTTTAGAGAACAAGAGCATTTTTTTCCTTCAATACCAGTGAAAATGACAAAACAGTCACTACATTAAAATGACACAATTACAGCTGTTGCCAAATGTCTTTGAACTATGACACTGGGGAACATGAAATGTTCCCAGGCGTCTTGCCCCCCCCCCCCCCCCCCCCAATTACAGTAAAATGCAAGAGTTTTTAAACACTGGTAAAGCCATTTATTAAAGATCTTTGCTGTTCCAGAACTCTATTTAATTAGATCATTACTAAGTTTGATTTGAACAAACTTGAATGTTCTTAGGTTCAGTTATTAACTATAAAGGAAACAACAATTACCTGTTGATGTCTATCCTCAAATATGCAGTCACATAGGGAACAGACCATTGCATTTGATACTGTGTAGACTTCAGGCTCTGATGGCGGATAAATAAAGAAGAGAAAAATAAAAAAATAAATCACATCTAATCTTCATAAGTATTAATATTCTGGAATCTGTGTACTCATCAGATGAATGTAAATGTTTTCCTAAAGAAACAGTCAGGATATTTTGAAACATAAGACTACAATTATCTATCATTAGAATCCTGTTACAATAATGGTCATATCGTGCAATATGAGAGGAAGAGATGGAGGGAAACAGAAAGAGAGAGAGAGAGAGAGAGAGAGAGAGAGAGAGAGAGTGAGAAAGAGAAACACATAGGCCAGAACATAAAAACTGTCACTTAATGCTATCAAAGAGATACATTTATGAACTTTTAAGTTTATAATTACTCGAGTGCAACAATGCCAACAAGTAGATACCAGATGTTAATAATTTGATTTATATTCATTATCCATAAAAGAAAACATATCATAAGGTGATTCTGACATACCACTCTTATCAACAGGGACACAATCCTCTGGTTCTTCATAAAAGTCCTCTGTGACTTTATTCGGCTGGAGTGAGGATAGTTTGATACCAGCCAGATATTTCCAAGCTTTACTCTTGTCTGTCAAGGAACAGCTGCTCTGTCTCTTAGGCATCTCCATGCTTCCTATCTTTCTGAATGAACAAAAAACAAAGAGAAAAACACTGTAAATCTGAGATCAACCACCACACTGACTAGCATCATCTCTAACTCTATTTCTCTGACTCTAAGTTTGAAACTCTTTCCAAAATCATACCGTTATCGTAAATGACCGTAATAAATCAGTTCTGTAATTTCCAACTAATGCACAGCTCAAAATTATGTAGAAAAACTGAAGAAACCACCACTGATTTTCCTTCGCTTACTGTTTTGTTAGCATTTGCAAATCATTTACCTTGTGCAGACTTTTTTTGTATTTAAAAAAAATCTGATACAACCAATTAGAAAGAGCCACATTAAATTACACAGAGACAATTTTTTTTTTAGAATTGGATGTGAAATTATGAAAATATTTTCAAAGATCAGTAAATTCTGCCGTCTTCTGTATCCTTTCTGATTTTTGTTAACATGGCGTAGGGAAAGTACGCATGCGCAGCACATACCGTGCTAGACGGAAGTAACCGCCTGGTATAGGTCATTCTTTAATAAAACTGACATTTGTCGACATTCCCCATACACAGTCTGAAGACAGTCAAGTGGAAGAGATAATAACACTTTTTTGAAGAAGATTTCACATGCAGAGGTCCAAGGTACATATTTTCTTAATGTTTATCATGTTTGTTATTATTTGAAATGCCAATTGTAGTTGTTTGTGCCTGTGATTATGACAAAAAAGGATTAAACTTAGCGTCAGGGCAGTATCGTCTTATCGTATACCCGTAGACTGCATCTTCCCTGTACGATGACATAGGCGATCGTTCAGTCTCTATATACAGAGGTCTAGTGGAGCCAGACGTCGTCTCAGTGGAACAACCGAAGATATAGAGAGACTGAAGCTTTTGGTCTAATAGCGTGCATGCATACTTTCTCTTCGCCATGTTGAATCAATGATATAGGCCTATGGGATGAACCACTCCAGCAAAGCATAGAGAGTCAATGCTAATGCGTATTGACCTCTAGCACTGCACTACGTGTTAATAGGCAGCATTTGCACACATGAATAGTTAATACACTCTCATTACACGAATGCACATAATCATGCCAATGTGGCTGATCGGCAAGTTTGACAGTAGACTTACAATTTGAATTTTTCAATTATTCTTTCTAACATCGGTAGATCTAGACCCTATTAGTTAAAAAATTGTATTTTACTGCTATTTAGTCATCAATTTTCACTTAGGGTCTACATGCAAGTACTGATTTCGATTAAAAGCATTTGAGTTTTGTACAGTGATGTTTGAAATGTTGAGAATCAATAGCACAGTTTTTAATACACAGCCAGGATAGTAATGCAGCTATGTCTATGTGTGGGATGAACTGGGTTTATCATGTTTATAGGACCAGGACTTGAATCACCCTTTTTTCCCTCAAAAACTTCTTCAAATTATAATTTAAAGTGGTTGAACGGATGTCCAAAGTAGGGAGGCCAATGCCCAAATCTAACCTTTTAATTACTAATTTGTTTATAATAAAACAAACATTAAAAGAAAGCATTTTCTTTCACTAAGAAAACTCACCCATCTGCCGACTCCAGAAGTTCCATAAAATAGGAGATATCCAGCTAGTTCCTATGAGGTTCCTTCTACGCCTGGCCGTACGTAAGAGCCTTGAAACAATCAATTTCAATTACGTTGAGAATTAGACAGGCCCGAGGGAATGGGCGTGTCATCATGGTCATTGCCCGGACAACAAGTTCAAAACTTCGCGCGAAAGTACATTCATCACCACCGGCTAGCCTTGAATTAGTCGCACACACCGACACAGTACTGCAGGCCAGGTACGGTAATTGCATGCAAGCCGCGATCGAGCCATGCTAGCCATGGCATGGAGGGTCAAAACATAATGGAGAGAAAGCTTGAAAGCCACTCATTGTAAATTAAGAAAGTAATTGAAATAAATAAATAGGCCTACCTTAGTTTTGCGATGTATTCCAATTACTATTTCCTCATGAGTAAAGATCTGACACTGCATTATCATCGATCGATAAATCCAACTTGCACTTGCATGCAGCGATCACAATACGGAATCAAACATGACTGCACGCATTGATAGACGTGTACTACTTACGGAGATATTTCTCTCCCCCCCTCTCTCTCTCTCTCACTAACCATATGAGGATGAGGGGGTGCGCACTGTGCTTGTTTAGTACTTATTGCTTGAGTCTTGGTTGCGGAAAAAGTTGGTTGCTTGGAGTTTGAAGGTGTCAATGTTCGTGGTCCTTTGGATGTCGGAGGGTAGTGAGTTCCAGTCCTTGATGGTACGTGGAATGTAGGAGTGTTTAAAACAATTGGTGCGGGTGGAGTATTGGATAAAGGAGTTTCCTGAGGTACGTTTGGTGGCTCGTGTAGCTGGACGCAGGTAGTCCGACACTGGCAGGGCCAAGTGCCCCCCCCAAGGCTTTGTGCAATATACAGACCCTCGAAACTTTCCTTCGAATAGAAAGCAAGTCCCATCCTAACCCCACCATTAGTTTTGTCGCGCTGGTAGTTTGCCTGTAGTCATTGCATACCATTCTGGCTGCCCTTCTTTGGACCTTGCCAATTTCCTGTGTATGTTCTTTGGTATATGGGTCCCAGACACTAAAACTATATTCTACAATTGGACGGACTAGGGTTGTGTAAGCTAAGGATTTAGTTTGTTTAGTACATGATATAAGGTTTCTACGGATGAATCCATTGACCTTATTTGCAGATGATGTTATGTTAGAAATGTGTTTATCCCACTTTAGATCATTGGAGATCTCTACCCCTAGGTACGAGTGAGAGGGGGTTTCCTGTAATACAGTACCTCCGATGGTGTACTTGGTTGTTACGGGGGATCTAGAAGCGTTAAATCTAAGAACATGACATTTTTGGGGGTTGAGTTGCATTTGCCACTTATCCACCCATGCAGAAAGTCTGTCAAGGTCGTCCTGTAGTCTGGTAGCGTCAAGTTGAGTTTTTATGCCAGAGTATAAGATACAGTCGTCTGCGTATAGTCGTACGGTCGAGGATAACTCGTCAGGTATGTCGTTAACGTAGATTAGAAAGAGTAAAGGTCCGAGCACTGTCCCTTGAGGAACGCCCGACTTAACCCTAACCCACTGTGAATGTTCTCCCCCAATACTACCCGTTGATGCCTGTCTTGTAAGAAAGATGAGATCCACCTGTTGGTTTTCCCATTGATACCGTACTGATTAAGTTTAAGGATGAGACGATGATGGGGCACAGTGTCGAACGCTTTAGAAAAGTCAGTAACGAACTAACGATCATGTCAGTCTGGGTCCGTTTGTCGAGAGAAAGGGTAAGGTCGAGCATGGTTTGGATTAGACAGCAATAACCATCTGATTTGGGTCATTTCTTTAATAAAACTGACATTTGTTGTCATTCCCCAATACAGATGGCAACCCAGAGATCTCGTACCGTGGGGGTAAATTAGAGCCACAGCGTAACAGCTTTTCGTTACCGACATTTCTCCCCCGATTTTCTTTATTTAGATCTAATTTCCTGATTTCTAAATCAGATGTAAATTAGGTCGGTCTATATATCTCCTAATTACAGTTTTCGAAATTTTCTAACCTATTATAGAATGTGAAATTTTCGGACTTACTTATATGAATTATCCAATTTGTTCCTCAGAACCGCGAAGCACTTACGTTCATGCATTCGAAATATTACCCGGCGGCCGATATATTTCCGGGTCCACCTACCAAAACATAGCCAATGGCCAATCAGAGCACTCGTTTCGTGGGAGTTCGTTGGTCAAGCCGGGCCGACTCGTATGTAGCTACGGTAGCTATTGGACGTTCGAAAAGAAAAAATTAATATTCATCAACTAAAACCAAGACGGATAATGTTGACGACGAGACTTTCTCGGATTAATCATTAATTTAGGATCTAAATGAGCAAGCTATCGTAAGTCAAATAAGCTATATATATGTTATTTTTAATTAGACTCTAATTATTGTCATATTGCAGCATGTGTGAGGATGTAAAGAGTGAAAATCTCGTAGCATATCTCATTCATCGCGGTCCTGCCGAACCGAACCATTGGTTCCGTACAGTCCCGATAGGACAATCTTCAGTCTCTATAATCGGAGGTCTAGTGGAGCCAGACGTAGTCTCAGTGGAACAACCGATGATTAGAGAGACTGAAGTTTTCGGTCTAGGTTTGGATTAGCTGTGATTCACAGGAATGACCTTTCCTAAATCAATGTTGGTATTTACTGAGTATGTTGTACGACTCAAGATGGTTCATTATATGAGAGTGTACAATATGTTCTAGTAGTTTACAGCATACAGAAGTGAGAGATATTGGTCTGTATTTTTCTGGTTTAGTTCTATCACCCTTTTTATGGATAGGTCTAGGTGTGATGTTGGCTTTACGCCAGTCTTCAGGTAAATAGCCTGTATCAAAAGATGCTTGGAAGATTTTGGAAAGAAGTGGCGCCAATTCTGTAGAAAACTCTTTTAGTATACGGGGGGGGGGGGGGAATCTCGTCGACCCCGGAAGCTTTTTTTGGATCTAAGTTCTTCAAGAGTTTCTTGATCCCTCTGTTTCTCGATAGACCCTGATATGTTAATCTCTATCAAAAGTTCTTTGATATTAAATTGGTTCCATATTTTTAGGCTCTACCTTCAGTCATTGAGAAGGATTTTAGTGAGCTAACCTCATCGCCCTCTAGTTTCTCTTGTGCGTCCGCTATTTTCGTCTGCTAGCCCAATTATTGGATCAAAATACGTCAAAATCTGCAAGATCGTCAATAAATGGTGAAAGACCATTACAGATCCGTGATTATAGGTATGTTGTGGAGTGTGTAATTGTGTATTTGTTATACATTTTATTCCATAGATATTTGTTTTCTTTTTTTTTCCCCTTTTTTTTTCTTCTGGTAATTTTCTGAGTTGGACGACGAGCTTAAATCGTAGGCGTAGATCTAGAAGCCTTACGCCCGGGCATTGGACTCCCTATCCAAAGGAGTCGAAAAACATTGTAAGTCATAATTGTAATTAGATCTAGTCTACTACTTCTTTAAATTTCGAAAAAATGTGACCCAACCCGCTGTTTGAATCGTTTTCCTATGCAGGCTCTGGACTGGAGCTCCCTGGAGTTACTCAGAACCCAAAGACAAAATTACTTACACAAATTATAGCATGTGGGACAATATAAATTGTAATCTGGATATATTTCCGGGGAGAAACTGGAGAAATGAAGGGATGTACTACTTACAATTTCAAATTTTCAATAGTCTGAACACTTACAAGCTCGAACTGACAGGATCCTTTGCTGTTAAAGCTCCTAAAAATGTGAATAATGTCCTCCGATTCCTTCTTCTCTCTTGTGCAACCAGCTGGTCGCTAGCGCTCCTAATCATGTAATGTGCTCGATGAATACGACATGTTCTAAAAATAGCTCGCGAGTGAATGAAGCAATCGTTGCGCAAGTTAAAGCTTATCTGCCATAGTTTACAGGAGGGATTAGAGCGCCCTGCAAGCAGGGGCGTCGCCAAAGGGGGGGGGGGGGGGGGGGGGTGGGGGGTGCGACACCCCCCACCTGTCAGGATATTGTCGGTAAAATTGCGCTGCCGTCGGGAAAAAGAGAAAAGGGGGAGGGGAAAAAAGAGAGGGAAAGGGAAAGAAAAGAAAAAAAGAAAAGGAAAAGAAAAGAAAAGAAAGAAAGGAAAAGAAAGGAAAGAAAGGAAAAGAAAGGAAGAAAAGAGAAGAAAGAAAGAGAAAAAAGAAAAAGAGAGAGGAGAGGAAAGAAAGGAAAAGAAAGAAAAGGAAAAAAGAGTGAAAGGGAAACAAAAGAAACGGGGGATGAAAGAGATGAGAGAGAGGGAAGATAAGAGACTGAGAGAGGAGGAGTGGGAGTAAAAGAGACGAGGGGGTTGTTGGGTGGAGTCGTCTCGTCGAGGGAGCAAGAAAGACACGGGTAAATATGTTGCTGTGTCGGGTCAGCTGTGTCGGTATTCTTGCTCGATCCTCGTGTACTATATCAATGCAGAAGTATATTGTCGGTCGGTCGACAAGTTTTTTTCCCTACGAACTGTGACTTCTTATCCGCTTTGACGACTTCGAGAGTGACTACAACAGTTACTTGTATTTTCTCGAAGTTTCACTTGCCTATAATATCAGCTAAAGAAATCAGAAGTTTAAAATTTTCGGGGAAACTAAATTCAAACAAGGTTTAAGAGTCAACAACGGTACGACGAATCGTCTTTCTTTCTTTATATTGTGATGAAACGCCCAAAATTCCGCGCTTCGCGCGGAAGGGGAAACTTCATTTAGACGAGTCGAGAACGGTACAACGAATCGTCTTCGTTCTCTAATAATTTCAGGAAACGTCAAAGCTTCCGCGCTTCGCGCGAGAGGGGGAAACTGAATTCAGACAAAATTAATAGGGCTTATTTAGAGTCGAAAACGGTACAACGAATCGTGTTCTTTCTCTAATAATTTGAGGAAACGTCAAAGCTTTCGCCCTTCGCGCGAGAGGGGAAACTGAATTCAGATTAATAGGGCTTAATAAGAGTCGAAAACGGTACGATGAATCGTCTTCCTTTCTCTATATTGTGATGGAACGCCACAAAATTCCGCGCTTCGCGCGGAAGGGAAAAACTTCATATAGACGAGTCGAGAACGGTACAACGAACCGTCTTCTTTCTCTAATAATTTAAGGAAACGTCAAAGCTTTCGCGCGAGAGGGGGGAATCTGAATTCAAACAAAATTAATAGGGCTTATTTAGAGTCGAAAACGGTATACAACGAATCGTGTTCTTTCTCTAATAATTTGAGGAAACGTCAAAGCTTTCGCCCTTCGCGCGAGAGGGGGAAACTTCATATGACGAGTCGAGAACGGTACAACGAATCGTCTTTCTCTAATAATTTAAGGAAACGTCAAAGCTTTCGCGCTTCGCGCGAGAGGGGGAATCTGAATTCAGACAAAATTAATAGGGCTTATTTAGAGTCGAAAACGGTACAACGAATCATGTTCTTTCTCTAATAATTTTAAGGAAAGGTCAAAGCTTCCGCGCTTCGCGCGAGAGGGGGAAACTGAATTCAGACAAAATTAATAGGGCTTATTTAGAGTCGAAAACGGTACAACGAATCGTGTTTTTTCTCTAATAATTTGAGGAAACGTCAAAGCTTTCGCCCTTCGCGCGAGAGGGGGAAACTTCATATAGACGAGTCGAGAACGGTACAACGAATCGTCTTTCTCTAATAATTTAAGGAAACGTCAAAGCTTTCGCGCTTCGCGCGAGAGGGGGAATCTGAATTCAGACAAAATTAATAGGGCTTATTTAGAGTCGAAAACGGTACAACGAATCATGTTCTTTCTCTAATAATTTTAAGGAAAGGTCAAAGCTTCCGCGCTTCGCGCGAGAGGGGGAAACTGAATTCAGACAAAATTAATAGGGCTTATTTAGAGTCGAAAACGGTACAACGAATCGTGTTTTTTCTCTAATAATTTAAGGAAACGTCTGAGCTTCCGCGCTTCGCGCGAGAGGGGGGAAACTGAATTCAGACGCAATTTAACGGGCTTATTTAGAGTCAAAACGGTACAACGAATCATGTTCTTTCTCTAATAATATGAGGAAACGTCAAAGCTTTCGCGCTTCGCGCGAGAGGGGAAAACTGAATTCGGATGAATAGGGCTTAATAGGAGTCGAAAACGGTACGACTAATCGTCTTCTTTCTCTAATAATTTAATGAAACGTCAAAACTTCCGCGCTTTACGCGGGAGGGGGAAGCTTCATTCAGATAAGCATTAAGAGTCGAGAACAGTACACCGAATCGTCTGCATTTTCTCATAATTTAATGAAACGTCAAAGCTTCCGCGCTTCGCGCGGGAGAGGGAAAAACTGAATTCAGACAAGGATTAAGAGTCGAGAACAGTACACCGAATCGTCTGCTTTTTCTCATGATTTAATGAAACCACAAAGCTTCCGCGCTTTGCGCGGGAGGGGGGGGGGGACTGAATTCCGAAAAGGATAAACAGTCGAGAACGGTACAGCAAATCGTCTTCTTTTTTATAATAATTTAATGAAACGTCAAAGCTTTAGCGTTCCGCGCGGGAGGGGGGGGGGGAACTTTATACAGCCACGGATTACCAGTCGAAAACGGTACAATAATATTAATCGTCTTCTTTTCCTGATAATTTAAGGAAACGTCTAAGCTTCCGCGCTTCGCGCGGGAGGCCCATCACCCACACCCCACTAATAAGCGCTTTAAAGTGAATCTCTTGTTCACTACCGCCCATCCCTAAAATAAGATCCTAGCTCCGCGCCTGCATTAAAATATATAGCTATGATGCTGACTAAATTGAAGAAATAATTCGTATATTATGTCGTCGAGGAAAATGACAATTTTGCGCATATGCAAGTACTATAGATAGTCCATAGGAAAAACAATTTAGCCTTCGGCCCCACGTTTATAGGGTTGAATTTGTAGATATTGGACATTTAATTTTGTCGGTAATTGGTGGCTAGTTTTGTCGGTAATTGTTGGCCTCTACACCCCCCCCCCCCCCCCAACTGAAAAAGGTCTAGCGACGCCCCTGCCTGCAAGGTCACTGGACAGGTGGTTATCTCATCAACTCAGCTCTCAGTTAACATAAGAAAAAGAGGATCATGGGGGACCAATGGTCACCGATTAGGCATTGTTTGTTGTAAGAGGGCGCAAGTACCTACAAGTAGTGCAGTGGGCCTTTAAGCCTCGGTCACAAATGCCATTACGAACTGCTACGAACGCCGTACGAACGATTTTTCAGACAATGGAAATTCGGGAAGACAATGGAAAAACAGGGAGATTCGTACGAAATTATCGTTCGTACGAACCTTTGTGACCGACTGACCGTAGCATTATTGAAACGAGCTACTTTTGACATATTAGCGGGGGGGGGGGCAAATATCAATTTACCATGCTTGGTTTTAGAGCTGGTTGTCACTACTACTTCACAAACTAAGCACTATTTGGTTATTCCATAAAATATACAAAATATCACAATACACCATACTTCAGAGGTTTTTTTTTCTTCTTTATTTGAAGCAGTCACCCCATAAATCGGAGGCGCCGTCTAAAAAGCAGCCCTATTGACGAAAAATAGTAATGTATTTTGTCAAATAATAATGTTAGGGAACCTTGAACCAACATGTGTTTGGTGGCACACAAAAAAAAATTAAATTACCTACATTTTGATAACAATTCAATAAGAAGTAATTATTATCAAAAAACATGATTCAAAGTGAATCAAAACTTATTTTCATTATTTTGACACATCAACAAAAAAAAATTGTAACTTTCTAGGAATTTGACCATATATATATTTGACCATAAAATATAGATAATTGAGTTATCTTCTATATGCCACTAAATAAATGGTGGTTCAAGGTTCCGTTTGCATTTTTACACAATGCTCTTTATCGTCAAAAGGGCCGCTTATTTGCACGCTGAGGTGACTGCTAAAAAATCAACAACAAAAATAAATCCGAGCTGATGTTTAAAGAGAGGATTTTTTTAGTATATCTTTTAATCTCACATGAAAATAAAAATTAAGAGGCCCCATATTCATTCATAATGAATAAAGAGGCCTAGACAATCTTAGGCAGGCATTAGGCATCATAACATAGGCTTATTAATTACAAAATGATTGCATAAATAATGTTCTTCTATTTAATTTAATTTATGCGTTGTGATGTATATAATAAAGGCAGATCATTTTTTCCTAATGAAGAGAGAAGGAAGGGAGAGAAGGGAGAGGGGGAGAGAGAGAGAGAGAGAGATAGGAGAGAGAGAGAGAATGAGAGATAGGAGAGATAGGAGAGGGGGGGGGAAAAAGAGAGAGAGAGAGATAGGAGGGGATTGAAAGAGATGGAGGGAGTTAGAGTAAGGGTGGACAAAAAAGAAAGAGAGAGAGAGAGAGAGAGAGAGAGAGAGAGAGAGAGGAGAGAGAGAGGGGGGGGGGGGAGAGAGAGAGAGAGAGAAGGGGGGAGAGAGAGAGAGAGAGAGAGAGAGAGGAGTATAATGGGGAATGAGAGGGGAAAATGCATGTTATTGACTCGGTTAATACTGAAGGAAAAAAAATCGAAGAGGGATGTTTCAAGGGATGCAATTCATCAGCAGCTCTTACATGAAAAATATAGTACCTTTCAAATAATTACATTCCTCCCAAGATTTGGAGGGTCCTTGAATTTTCAGCAGATGATTAAGACGAAAGAAATCGAATTATAAGTCATATACAATCAATGTAAGAGGCGTCATTTTTTCCTATCTTATTGACCGTTTGTGCCTTCAGACATGTCATAATGTTCTTATGGTTCATGAATATCTGATCTGATCAGGTGGCTTCCGTAATAAATTCGTGGAGAGT